ATGAAGCGTATCCAAGGTTGTTTCCATACTTAAGGAAATCTGTACTTTCTTCAAACTCACATTTAAATCTTGAGATTCCAAAGCTGTTCTAATGTCAAAAATAAAGAAAATGAATGTCACTCAAGTCCTCACGTTTGCTTGATTGAAACGCGATGTTCACGAAAGTCACCTCGATAGATAAGGTAGAGTTAATATACATGGCTGTGGTATTTGTTTTCTGCTGAGTCTCGTAGTTTTTCGTAAATTGTCCTCCAAAGTTGTCCCAAATTTAAGTCTTGAAAAGTGTCACGACAGGCCTTCGCTCGAGTGAAATTTAATTTCCGTAAAACTCCGAAAGATAAAGAGATNCATGCATCCAAACATATCGAAGATGAGATGAAATTGGAAGCATACTACAATTTGTCGTACTAAACTTAAACCCAAGGCATTTTAAGAAATGATCCAGCCTTGCTCATAAAATAGAGACACTGCCAATCTCCTTAGCATGATCTGGTAAAGTTTTCCATTCACGATATTACGTATAAAATAGCTGTTCTTAAAAGCATTAGTTCTACTATATTGCATTGGAAAAAAGAAAAGAAAAATATCGATTACTTTCACGATGTCCTGCTTCGTGTGCTTTTATATTGTGTACTTGGCAGGATTACGCAGTTTGTTAACGAAGATAAAACAATATTTTGCCGAATGTTAATTTTCAAGAGAATCTGGAGTTTTTCGCTCACAGGATGTTATTTCCCTCACCCCACTCCCCCACAAAAGGAATTTTGCCCGAACAGAAGTCAAAACCCGTTGCCACCTGCCTCAGTAAAGACATGAATTTTTGAACTATTGTTCGCATCTTTGATTTCTCGTTGCCGTGAACTTTGTCTCGCCATGAAATGTCGGCCAATAACTTACTCCTTCGGGAAAAAATAACTGACATTTTCTCGACGGGATAAATTGTATGGTGAATCAGTGCTGATAATGAGGTTTTCGTAACACAGATTTCACTTTGTTCTTAAAACAACGCTGATTGCAAAGCAACAAAGGAATCACGTGGCCTATTGACCTTTAGGAGAACGTATTTTTGCCTTCCTTTCAGCCTTACTACGAGGGAGCAGCCTCAACCGCGCTTAGTGCAGAAAAGAATCTATTTAAAAACAGACTTGTAAGTTTAAGGTGTGGTTTTCGTAGATCAACAATTTAAGATGTGGAGCCCACCAAGAAATATTTCGCTGGTTATGTTAACGTTATCACTTTTGCCGGGTGAGTAAAATTGTTTTATACTTTTAGGCCATTTCCTGCTAAACAACATTAAATGTAATGACTCCTGCAAGAAGTTAACATGGCCCACAGTTTATTTTAAAGCCATGAAGTACAAGTCGCTTTGTTTTGGGGAACCTGCTGTGTGTGCCGGGATTTGGTTATACTCGATACAAGATATATAATTTTACTTCTATAATTCCTGTATCGTCTGTTTTATTTAGTCCCGAGTGCAGTTTAATTTCAATCGCGGTAACTTATGGTCAACAAATTCTTCATTTTGTCACGGCCATCTTACAGAATGCTAGAAACAGTGCATTAGAGTTTCACTGCTAAATCTACCCTTGATAATAAAATGAAATAAAATAAGATAGTTTACAACGCTAAAATATTCCACACTTCTAACAAGTCATCCGATCAAATCAGTTGTCAAAGGTCGTTAAACTCTAGTGAGTATCAACAAAGACTATACATCTATTCACCTGTCTAGATGTCTGTGACATGATTACTTCACGTTTGGAGTTTTTATGCCTTATCCCAAAGTTGAACTCTATAAAAAATACGCAGTTTAACTCAAGTATATCAATCTAAGCGGGTGCATGGTTAGAAGCCTCTTCTGCACTTGCAATAGAGACCATGTCCTTTCTAGTTACTTTTAATATAAATCTACTAACGTTCTACGCCGTTCTCTGATTGGCTACGCTACTCACTATCTATTTAATTTTGTTCTAGATGGTGAGTAACCTAACAGTGTGCGGCTGTCAACAAAATGACGTCGCTTCTTTGCGTTTTCGAGGTGTCTGTGAAGAGAATTTACATAGCGTTTTGAAAAACTAGTAGATTTATACTAAACAATTAGATTATTCGCTCTTGATTTCTATGCGTGATAGTTGACTCAGGCTGTGCTCTTAACTATCACGCGATAGAAATCTCGCGCTTATTCAAGTTTAATTTCTTTTTTTGCTATTTGATATTCTATGTATTAAGCAAAATAAAGCGGTTGTTGTTGTTGTTGTTATTGCTGTTGTTGTAGCTCATGATCCAATTGTTACGTAGAGTTAGAATGCCTTTGCTTCAAAACAATATCCTCATTCCATTTCTTGCAGTAATTTTCTGCGACTTAGGTCAGTTCACGTTTCAACGTTTCAACTGCCCGAAAAGTTACACATTTACAAACGCACGACTCCAAGGAGGACTTCAAGCTGGACAGTTTACAAGACTGGGTCCGCCTGATGACACTGAGCTGTGCGTCCAGCGGTGTTGCGATCAAAGTTCATGTGACCTGGTTGCTTGGGTTGGTGAGCACTGCTACTCAGTGACTTGCGTGAACCGAGAACTGTGCAAGCCTGTGAGGTTACCAAGCTATCACAAGGGCATGAGATTGCTGTACATCGCGTCCAGAGAAAACGCAGAAGATGAAGGTGGGCAAAGCACTAAAATACAGACCGTGAAGTTTTACTACAGTTATGCAACATACGACTTACCAAAGCTATTTATCTGTAAAGAACCTGTTGGACTCCTGTGTCGGCGGGCAAATGAAACACTAAACTATCTACCAAACTAAAAGAAATGAACTGTCGTGGCGAAAGTTTGTGAAGCTGACTTTTCGATCGTTAGCCCTTGGTCTAAACAAGAACAACTACTTTGCTCTGACGAAGGAATAACGCTCAAAACGTCAGCATCACAAACTCGCCGCAACATAAGGAATAGTATAGTCATTTCTGGCAGACAATCAAGTAAATGAGGAATAACACTCTGTCGTTCCTCCCTCGCCTGCTCACCTTGCCTACTCATTTGGCGACCGTCTTTGCCGTCCGTTTTGACATGCGCCAGTTGATGTCGTTCCTCAAATGATTGATTGCTGCGTTTCACATCATTATTTCGAGGTTCATGCACTCGGTTATAAACTATATACCAGGCGTTATGCTAGAGGGGCATCTCCCAGTGTATTTATTTATTTACGTGACACTGTTTGCGCTTGGGAAGACGCAGAAGAGAGAAAATCCAATTAGGAGACATTAATATAATCCTATACTCTTCTCATCAGTTGAACCCAACCGGAGAGAAGTCAGTGATATGCTTCACTTGTCGCCGAGTGATCCTGGCTCTGTCAATATTACAAAGTCGTTAGCTTCCTACAGTGCTTCTCACGAACCCGCTACCTTAAAATCCAAGAGAATAATACGCTCTCTAGAGGAAATTGAAGATGAAGACGGCTCGGGTGCCATCAAAATCAAAGTCGACACCAACAATGCTGATGACGATAAGGAAAACGTTTTGTTTAGCGGCAATTATTACGAACGCAACTCTGAAAGTATGAAATTCAAAATGGAGGAGCCACCGAGCGAGGGAGACTGGGAAGGAGGTCTAATTGAATCAAGTGCCGAGCAGGATGATGACGTGACTGATGACATCATTCAGACTCAAACACATAGCGTAACTGCAGTGAAACGAACGAAGATGGCGTCTGTGGTTAACCCGAGTGATATAGAGGAATTTGAACCTGATTCAGACGATTCCGGTTCGGGAAATTTACAGGAAGACGAAGATACGTTTGTGGGTTCTAGTTCTTCAGGAGCTAGTGATGCTAATGTTTTATTCTCGGACGAAATTCAAGATGAACGTTCAGAACGGTCTGGAAAAATAAACAAGACTATTATGCGCGAAGTTCAGCGCAATCTACACAAAGTGTGGCGCTATGCCTCTTCCGGTAAAAACCTTGATATGATTTCCAAGAGACCGAAAGGTAAAGAAGAAGAACAAAAATTACAGGAGATTTATAACTTGGTGATAAAACACGAATCTGGCAGAACAGAACCCAAGGAGTCTGTACCTGGTGAAACTGCGAGTGGGTTAAACATGGGGGATGATCTCTCAGATGAAAGTGGAAGCGGTGAAGATGATGTATATCAAATGGGATCTGCTCTCTTTCGAGAAAACGAAGAGAGGGTACATGTGATATCAGGTGATGATGATATTTCTGGGGAAGGCAGTGGATTTGCTGATTTTTCAGAGATGTCTGGTGCCAGAGCCAGTGGTTCTGGGGAAGTGAACACCGAACTTTTGAGAGAAGTTGAACATAACTTGCACAAAGTATGGAGATATGCGGCGCCTAAAAAAGATTTAGACATGGTAGCTAGGGGGCCAAAAGGAAAGGAAGAAGAACAAAAAGTGAAAACGATTTATAATGTTGTCAGCAAGCACGAAACTGGATCGGCGTTTATTGATTTTGAATTGCGAAAGAAGGAAAAATCGTCAAGTGATAGCGACAAAACTCCTAAGCAACATCACAGCAATAAAAGCCGTAAGAGCAGAGTAAAATCAACTACGGCAGGGTATAATGCCACCGAAGAGAAATTGTATAGACTTCAGAAAGCAAGAAAATACGAGTACAACAAGGATTTGAAAAGTCTAAAACCTTGGGGTATGGGTATGGGAAAGTCACCCAGCAAACCGAGCGGGAAGTATGTGAAAAAAACCCACGGGAATAGAAAGGGAAACGGCGATAAACTTGCTATTCTCGGAGAAGAGATGAAAGAGTTAACTCCGACTGGCAAAAAGGTTAATAAAACGATCAATAACGAGAATTCTAAAGTAGAAAAGCTCCTTGAGTCGAAATCAGATAAGGAAGATACTGCGGCGGAGAACTCAGTCAATGATACCGCGAGTAAAGAAACTGAACAAGAGCATGAGGCGATCAGTGCGCCAGATAAAACTCAAAGTGAAAAGATCGTCTTAGACAATCAAGAGCCATTTGATAAGACTCAGCTAGAAATAGGGAAGAAGTTGGAGGAGTTGATTTTGAACAGAATGGCACAACTTGAAAGACAGGGAATCCAAACTAAACAAAAAGGAAAACAAGAACATTTTGAGAAAGACCAAGAGAAGGATGACCAATCAGAAACGGAAAACGAATCTCGAAAAGGCAAGTGAGACGTGTTCAGTTTATCAGCTAGGTTGTGTCGTTTTTAACACAATAACTGGACTAGACAGCAGAAATCATACTAGCGGCTTATCGCATAGAAAGTTCTCAAGAATAGTTGAACTGCTGTGCCCGTAATCATCTAATCATAAGCGTGTCATTGTCGGTTAGATTAGTGAGTTACTTTGATTTTTTTTTACCCGCTCTCAGTAGGAAAGCTATTCCCACAGCAAATCAAAGTTCCAGTAATTGAGAACCTTGTACGCTAGCATGAAATTGACAGTTGTTTTAATTCCTTTTTTCTGTTTCAGCTGGCCAACAAGCTAAGAAAGATAAATTGTTAACGGAACTGGAGAAACTGAAATTCTTGAACGGACCTTCAACTGTATATAAGGAGAGTAGGTTTGTGTATCTCAAACAGTGTGGGCTCTACGTGGAGGAATATAATGTGTCTAAGGTAAGAAAATCTGATCCCCAATGTAAAAGTCATTGCCTTCAGGTTGCATTTACTCAGCGCGAACCACAATGCAAAGCAAAGAAGTCTTATTCATCAACGGCGTTCATTCGCTACTGGATCTGCCGGGAGATTATCGATATTCGTGTATTTCCTAGCTGTTCGACGCAAAACAACAATGAAAGATAGAACTCGCACGTGAAAGATGTTCTTGTTTCTAGGAAAATGGAAGTTGAACTTGGTAAGGTACCGTCTAACTTAAATCAAATTTATGTAGAAGTCGAAGGAAACTTCCAAACTTTCTTATGATTTTAATTTGCCTGTACATATTACACCAAGACCTCGCGGAGTTACTTTAAAGAACAGTAATGCTCACTGACTCTCTGACATGTTTCTTTGTTGCCTTTAACTTGTAATCTGATTGAAACATACTTATCACCAGTCCAGGGCTTGGAGAGTCAAACCGGTCTGGTAAGTCATGGTTTCTACTACCACTGGGAACTCAGAAATTTTAATTGCCGAGTATTTAACTTACGCACTTGAAAACTCCTCTTCATTTATTAAATTTTACCCAGGTCACCATTCCAAGTACGATTTTTGTCTTTTCCTTAGACTCGTGCCTCTTGGAACAATGACTTATTCTCTCCATATTCATACTTGTACGAGATGCCGAAGAACTATCACACGTGTAACTCCTCTGTGCGGATGAACAGCACAGATCTGCGAGGAGACGTGTTCTTGAGCTTCCGAGTCATGTCCATAAAAGGAAGTACCATGACAAACAATGCTAACATCTGTGAGAAATATTGCTGCCAAGAGCCACGCTGCCAGGCCTGGACACTAAGATTCCAGCAGGCAGACACTGCCAACTGTCCTAAAGGTCAGCGGTACTCTTTATTTGAGTCTTAGTTTCATTCCAATAATTTAATAATGAAATTTAATCTTTGCTTGCAGTTTCAAGCATGGGCACAATGTAAGAAGTTATTATTGTTGTCAAATGCTACACTCTTCGTTAAGTTTGAGTAGTTTTCTTCCAGGTTTCAAGTAACCACAATGCTGACGCTAGGTTCCATAAAACGTTCATAAAATCTTGATAATTGAGCCCTAAGGGACAGAACATAATTAGCTCCGATTTACCGATTTGCATAGTATAAGAACGTGCCTTTTCAACAAATTCCTTGTCACTTTCCCCTGATGAAGGCTGAAGTTTTAGCCGAAACGTTGGGACTTTTACAAAAAGAATTTTACTAACATTTTTACATGTTTCAACCAGCGTAACGTTTTTCAATCATGAATAATTAAAAGTGTTGGTGCGTAGAGTTCGCAAGACATTGATTTGATCAAAAGGTTTCACTCTGTTACAGGTTCTTTCTGCTGCTGGCTTAAGAGTGCCATACCAACACCAATCCGAGATTCAGAACACTGTACATCCGGGATAGTGCACCGTGAGAGTACCAAACATCCACCCTCCGGCATGCGTTCGGCTGTGCCTCTCGGAGGGCTGGGCACTGGTTCATTTGAACTACGCGCGGACGGGACGATACATGAATGGACAATTGAAAACCAGTCCCCTGGGGGCTCGGCAAAACTCAACAAGGGAGCCCTGAACCTTGCTGTTTTTGGTGTAAGAGTAGCAGAACCAGACAAAAATAAGAGCGAGGCAGCGCTATTGAGAATACATGCCCCACATGGGTACCCCGGTGTAGAGAGTCTGTCATATTCCGGGTCATTCCCTGTCAGTAAACTGACTCCTGGTAAGCAAATAGTTTGCCTTATTTACATAAACAATCTTTTAATCTGACTTGCGTCTATTATAAGCACATAATAAACTGGGCTTTTTTCTTATTCATGTTTTATCCACCTGTGCTGAATGTATCACAATTATAACTCCTTTTTGAAAAGCGCAATCATGAACAAAACGCGACAAGTTGTTTTTGCTTCTTGTGTCAGTCGGCTCACTGCAACATAAAGGTTTGCTCTGACCGAATGTGAACACTTTTATTTGGTTTTGCCTGATATAAATGTGGGTTAAAATAAATTATCTGAAGGACCCTGATGGAATTGTCCGGATACAGACCACATCCATTACTTCGGCCATGTTTCCCCACGCCCATGGCCAGTTATGTTCCAATTGGCCCTGTGGGTGGTAAATGCTTTCTGCTAGAACACACCATAAGGCAACTCAAAATCGTAGTTTTAATGTTACTTGTAAATCTTTTCTTTTCATTTGGTTAATTCACAGGTGGTTCCATTACAGAAAATATTGACATGAGTCTGTATGCCTTCCCATCATTCCACGTAAGAGATCGTTTTAAGTCCGCGGTCCCCGCAGTTGCCTTTACTTTGGGCATGCGCAATAAAGCTAATAAACCTCTGGATGTATCGTTCATGTTCAACTTACCTCTCGGGCAGCAAGAAGACACCATCAGAGTGGGCGATAATTACGGCGAAGTTGTATTCACTAGGTGTGTCACTGTTAGATTATTAGCGTAAACGTGACATCTCAAGTATAAGCGTAACTTCAGAGAGCTTGAAAAAATGTCGAGTTTGGTAAAATCTTAAACCCTGAGCTATGTCTCCTATGGACACTTCAATAAAAGCATATCTCATTATTCAGCAAGCAAAATGAATTAATAAGATTAATTTGTATAGCGCTAAAATTAGTGTAGATAATCGTATGAATGCGAGTCCAATTAAGGATTTACACTAAGAGAGATATTTGAGAAACTCAGGAACTTTCACATATCACGAGAGTATAAATTCTTGATTAATCAGGTTTTCATACGATTACTCAATTATTATGTTATCGCCTACTATCAGATAATCGCAATAAAGTAATTTTTTAAGTCATGCAATAAATAAATAAACATAAGTATTCAAATGCACCTTACAATCATTACTGTAAATAAACTAACTAACTTAGCCAATAAAACTAAAACTAAGATTTCCAAAAAAAAAAAAAACTATGAAATTCGTTCATCTCCTTTATAATGAATGGATAACTTTTCCAGACTAGCTTATACACCATAAAAAAATGAATGAGCTACCTCGGAAAATCGTTTTCTGCTATTCTGCTATTTTTAGTTCATCCATTGACATACCTGAAAGTTATTTTCAATATGTATTACTTTCTTGACAGGATGATTAAACCCTCAGATTGCGCGCATGCGTGTTCTAAGATGCCCAAATGTATGTCATGGACAACCAATGGGCCCACCTCGTGCCTGTTGAAGGACAAAATGCCACTTCACGCCTGGGCCACCGGCATTGTATCAGGCCTTAAGGGAGAATGGAACGTTCAAGACTCCATGTTGACATGTCACAGGCCTGGCTTTTTCCCCCAGAGTGGAAGTGCGACATTGTATGCAGTAGACAATGATGACCGCTTGGGATCTTTTGCAGTAGCGGACGACTTTCGTGAAATCTGGGCGAACTTCTCTAACACTGGCAAGTACACGTAATGCAGATTATTCCAGGAAGGAAAAGAAACTGAAAGTAAATTCAGTTTGAACTGTAAATAAAAACAGAAACACCCATTTCGTTTTAAGCAATCTTGTATTTTCGACAGAACAGAAAATTATTTACCGTACCTTTCAAGCTCTAATTAAATGGTTTATATTTTTCTTTTAAAAAATTGGGCCGCTATCTTAGTACTGGACTAGTGCACTGAGCCATTCTTCCTAACTCAAGTTCAAACGAGGGAATTAATGTCGTCTCTAACCGGTTTCTTAGTTTCATTTTCAAGCTTCTTACTTTTGTCATCCAGGCTATCATGAATTATTTTCGTTTTAACTCTTAGGAGAAATTGGAGTTCCTAAGTCACTAAATAAAACTGGCCTGTATGGCGCCGCATCTGTGAAGACACAACTTCAACCTGGCGAGAAAAAATCCCTGACGTTAATCATGTCGTGGTATTATCCTCACCGTGATGTGGCCAAAGTCCATGTTGGCAATCTGTACTCCACCATGTTCAAATCCAGTCAGGATGTCGCTAAGCACATGCGCAATGATTTGGTTCAATCGGTAATCGATATTCAGTCGTGGCATGAACCGATCGTCGGGTCTGAGCCAGTGAAAAAGGCACCGATCAACGACAAAGTCAAGCATGTACCCAATAGCCCGGAAGAAAACAAAGTCAACCAGCTTCCTGATTGGCTGAAGGACTTGCTTGTTAACAGTATGAGTTTCTGGAGGTCTGGGTTCTGGGCAGAAGATGGAAGATGGCGTCAGTGGGAGGCCTTTGACTGCAATGATATCGACACCATTCAAAATGACATGCAGAGAATCATTCCTTCCACGCTTTTCTTTCCTGGTATGTCAAGTAATGTTTAGCTATCATTTGTTTTATCCTGGAAATGCAGACAATTTTGTTTTATTCCTTTTCCAAAAGAACGACTGCAAATTACAAAGTTCACAATGTTGGTTATGTGAGTAGATGGGTCAAGGTGTCTTTATATTACTTTACGTTAGGGCTAGCGCTCAAAGCTTCAGCTTCTCAAAAGTTGTCTCTATATCGACTTCAACTAATCTTGTAAACTTGTAAGTCGATAATCCATTACGTGTACATGTATTTTACCCGCCTACGAACGCAGCATAACTAACTAACTTTGTCTATATTCATTGACAGCAGTCCATATTCGTGTTCTCGGTATTGGACTGGAACTAGCTTGCACTGGAGGCTCATGGAGAGGAATATCATTCATTTGCATTTGAAAAGACTCCCCGCATTAGCCTCAACTGCAAGCTAGTTCCAGTCCAATACCGAGTATACGAATATGGTCCATTCATTCTCATTCTCAAGGCTTTGTTTTTAATTTGCTTACATTTTGCACAACTACAACAATTTTGAATTCGCCCCAGAACGTGTACCCTTAAACCCTTAGGAAGGTCACTGAATTGTTTTATCGAAGTGAGAGAGAATTCTACTTTTTTCTCCTATTTTCTTATATTATCGTATTGGTAACGCTTATGCGTTGTTAGCCTCATTTTCAAGAACGACATACTTGACCACAGTGGTAATAATTTTGCTGTTATATTATTTGCTTAGAACTTGTAAGAGATCTGTTGATATCTTGGGCCGACAATCAGTATTCCAGCGGTATGCTACAGGAAGCACTCACATCTGGTTGTCTAGGACCGACAGGGAAGCTGGGTAAGAATATTGTTTTTGTGTTCATGTGTCACGTGAAAAAATTAACATAGCGGTTATGTATGGAGTAATCAACAGAGATGCCAGTCAGGGGACTGGAAGCCTGTTAAGGATTTTGCTTCTTCGTGGTGAATTCATCACGCGCTGATCTATTCAATTCGTTAGTAAATAAATAAATAAATAAATAAATTAGTTTAATCTTTAAAAGAGATTCTTTGATGATATTGAACGATCCGGTTACCGTGGTATAATGATAAAATGAGACGAACGCTGATTGCTAATGTTATGTATTTACAGGTACATGGGATCACATGTATTCTGAAAGTCATGGTATTCTGAAAGTTATGGAAACAAATCTTAACATGAGCACAAACCGAAAGTTTTGATATTAGCAAAAACATCGAAAATAATCATGACATTGAATTCTATCTTGTCTGTTCACAGCCGTTACTGTTTTTTTTTTTTTCTTATGTGTACGAGGAGCGTCACTCACTTCACCTTGTTGTGTTCACCACTTTCAATCCTGTGCACTTTTTATTTTGAACTTGCCCTCAACAGAGCAAAGAGAAAATAAAAGTCTATGAACGGGCTGAATTAAACTTACAGCTTATCTTGAATTAACTCAATCCCGATCTCGGGAAAACTCGGGAACTTGGCCCAGGGTCCTTAATTTATTCTTAATAATAAGTTTGTTGATTTTGGATTCAATATGTTCTGTCCGGTAGATTACGCAGGTGGCCGAGTTATGGCGGACACTACAGCCATGTTCGTGGTAGGACTTTATCACTACTATCAGTGGACTGGTGACCAAGCTACCCTCGATCGACTTTGGCCGGCTGCAAAACGAGCGGTTGCGTGGGTCATGGTAGATTCCACGAAAGGTTAGCCATCTTCTTTTATATGCTATAATATTTATAAATTGCATCGCGAACAATACTCTATGCTGTGTCTTCTGCACAATCATGTTTGGCTGAAAGACTGAGAAACATTACCGCCTGTTTCTACTAAGGCAATAATCCTCTTTACTTTTAGGCACTGGACTTCCCTTTAGAAAAGTTAGCACATACGACATCGTAGCGCTGGATAAATTTGACCACGATGCTTATAATTCCTTTGTTTACCTATTGGCTCTTCGTGCCGCGCAAGAGCTGGGGACGATAACCAATGATACCAAGTTTGTATCGACCGTCCGTCAATCATTTAACCACGCGCAGAAACGAGTCGATATCGAGCTGTGGGACAATGCAAAGCAGTATTATCATGCCTGGTGGGACATGGAATACGGTTCACCAGAGTGGATCATGTCTGACTCCTTATATGGGCAAGTTTGGGCTTATAGTCTTGGTCTGGGAGATTTAGTCCCTCGCAGTAAATTGAAAGAGCATTTGTTGCGCGAGATTGAAAGGAACGATTCTCCTTTTGGGCTCAAGGTCTTGAACACGGGAGAGGTAGAAATCACTCCTGAGGATACGTCAATCATTTTAAGTCGGCACATTCCCGGATGTAAGTCGTTGGAGAACATAACGAAGCATAATTCTGTTTGGATGGGAGCAGATGCTGACTGGTCCTCTCTTATGCTGCATTTAGGTGAGGAGGAAACCTTTTGATGTTAATCCTTTCCTGTATTGTTTATACGAGTATAGACTTATTGATCTTTACGTATTATTCATAAGTCCTGAGTCTTAAGAGTAGCCATACTGATCACTGAGGGAGGATTTCTCGATATTTGTCTCAACCAGCAACACAAAAATATAGGGGAACCAGTAAGGAGAATTTGTACGTCAACGTCAAAGATTAAAAGGTAAAGATTTGTCACCTAGTGCTATACGAAATGAAAGCAGAGCAGTGGAGGAAATTTAAATGTTGGTATCAGCGCTTAAAGGATTAAAGAGAGAAAGCTTTTTAAGTGTAATTGCTTAAATTGTAATTGTTGTTGTTGTGTTCTTACAGACACGGATCCCATAATTGCTTTGAACCGAGCAAAGAAATCACTCGATCACTGGCGGTCCACTTTAAATGATCAATGGAACGTTCATGGGCTCATTTCCAGTAATGGTTACGGACTGGACGGGCTCCCGTGGGCCACTTCTCATTACTCCTTCCATCTGGTACTATGGCACATCCCGCTCGCCCTGTCAGGACAACAGTACTTCGCTCCCAATGCAACTCTGACTTTCTGGCCCAAGTTCCCAATACCATTTAATTTGCCATTTTTTACGCCCAAAGCGTTGGGGACCATTGAGGGAGCATACGTGAAGGGAAACGACAGGGAAGAAGATGATAATGAAGAAGAAGAAATGTTTACATTCACTGTCAAATCAGGTGACAAAATGTTTTACTGAATTAGCGCGTTCATTTCGACATTGTTTTAAAATACCGCACTGCCAAATACTATCCCGACGACCCGGTCGATAAGTCCATATTAACAACTTATTAACCGAACAGTCGAGGTTAATAAGTTGTTTACTATATGGCCTTTTGGTTTGTTTCTGCCGGCCCGGAAGAATAATGCTATAGAATTAGTCCATCAGAGCGTTATGTCAACTACAAACACAAGCCATATGATAATTCTCATGCATTTTTAGATATTTCATAGCAGTTATATAGTCTTAGTTAGTTTAGTTAAATATTTATTCCCAAATGTGAAAAGAAATGTTAATCTTATTTGTAGTGGTTATGCACTTACCTATACAAGCACTAAGCTTAGCTAGTTTACAGGCATGCCACTGCAACAAAGGAAACATATTTCGAATAAACGTAACATAGTTTATATACATTTTTGCTTTGTTATTTCGTTTTAAACTAACCGCTGCGTCCTGTAGACTCTGCTTATCAAGTCTATGGCTCGCACCTTACCATAGCTAAGTGTACGACCAAGTAAAATATTGACTTCATATTTGCTAAATAAATAGCTAATGAATACTTTTAACGTTGTCACTTTTTCAGGTTCGCTTAGCCTCAAAGAGTTAGCCATTCTAGGAAGCAGGTATGGCGAAGGTGAAATATCAATCAAGCAAGGAGAGGCCATCACGTGGTCTCGCCCAAAACAGGACGTGAAAAACATTTTACAACAACTGTAAACTGAGACATCGCCTCAGAACAGGAGCTTAATCACGCAAGCCCTACTGGGATCAATTTGAGAAACGCCGAAACAGAATCAGAAAAAAGACGAAATTACCATTATGCTTTTCACGACGAACACTTTTACTTAGTTCTGTGAACAGAGCAATTTACTTGTTTTGGCATTTTGTTTAGAGAGTAATCCAATTCACTAACTGACGCCATTCAATTATCCGCTGAAATAATTTTAGCGCGCTAAGAGCTGTTTCCAATCTCTTTGCTTTTTTGAGTAGAGTATTTATAATTTAGTCTATCGAGTAGAGTATTCATAACACGAACAAACATATACCGCCATTTAGTAGGATTGAGGTCAATTTTGTTTCTGTTTTGTATGCAGGCAGTGTATAAGTGTATAACTTGCTTAACTTTGAATACAGTTCAATTAAATTTTATTGCAATTTTGGTATCGTAAGAAATGTAATTAAATTTAAAAAGAAATTTTGCTAAGTGTAGATAAATGGAGGTTATCTACCAGATGGTGTTTAAATTGCAGTACCTTTTTTAAGCAGCTCGGGCTCTACGATCCAGCAGCCAGGGACCTTTTAGTTTTCAGGTCTATTCTTAGTTGTTACGTTGTTACTTATTGTTTATCAGAGATCTCCGTGCCGCATAAACAAAGTTCTGCAATAAACGTGTATATTTGACATCCCACTCATTAGGCAGTTCAATCGACTTAAAAATCTAATTCTCACTGACGGTATCCGAAAACAAACGTTCTTTTTAGAAAAGAGCTGAAGGATATTCAGATTGTTTTGCACCAACAACCCTACAGAGGTTGTTTAGTTGAAAGGCTCTTTGAAAAAAAGAAATATTATCCAAAACGTACAGCAAATATGAATAATAAAAATATGAAAAAAGTTAATTGCAATCATACTTTGTTCGTACCTCGCATAACCAATCATCTGCATTGTCAACAAAAGAAATACGTTGGTTGACGTACATGTAAATAATAACCACTTAAGATAGAGTATAACCACGGTTGCGCAATTTTTCCAAAACTGGCAAATGACGCCTTGGGGTCAGTGAGGCCTACGCAACTTCTTCAAATTGCTTGTTAACTAATATTAAATGTCGACAATCTACTTAACATGTTACTCACGAAATAATCTCGCTTGAATTTTACTTTGCAATTGTGATGGAAAGTTCATTTTATGATGGCGGCTTTGATTTAATCGCATGCATATGCATGTTTGGCGTGCGTCTATGGAGTTACGATGAAGTGCACGCGAGAAGCGCAAGAGTTGTCAGAGGCGTAGCAGAGAGCAACTCTAGCTCTTCGCGTGCTATTCTGCGCTATTTGGACTCGCACAACTTAGAGCATGAACCAGTTCTGTTTTAACAAAGGGAAAGCGATCGCAAACCAGAAACAGCTTTTGTTTACGGTGGTGAAATTATACTCACTTTTATGGGCAGTACAGATAAACCGTCTCTCTCCGCCCCGTTGTTTGTGTTTGTTAATACTTAGAGTGGTGCTAGAAAATCTCCAACGAAAGATCTTCACCGTCAGTCACCACTTTTGTAATAAACAAGTATTTTTCCCCGCCTCGAGTTGGAGAAACGAACTCTGATTAGAGTGGTGATTTACAGCATTCATTTTTTAGTGCACGCTGGGGGTGTGCGTCTGTTGAACTATGATGCACGCTCGTGCTGTTGATTTAAACCGTGCAGATACACTTGCTATGTTCTAAAGATCTCTATTCCTGGCATTTACGGCATTTTAATGGTATTATCGTTTCTTGCGTTATTTTTATTTTAATTCACCAGTTTCACCTCATTCACTCAATTGAATACAATCTTTTGTGTAACGTGACAACCGCCCTTTCACTTCACTGAAGTGTATTCTGAGAATCTGCAAAATATTTTCTCAATAAACACAAATTTCTAAGAGCTGTTGAATAAAAAATAAAATCTCTCAATAAAATTCTTTTAGTTGGCGTTTCTGAACATACCAATCGCGTCCTTCTTATAGAGGAACAACTACTTTCACTGCAATAATAAATTCTGGCTATCAATCAAAAGTCAGTTGCAAGTTTTAAGCTTCAGTTGATCGTCAAGGTTTTGCGGTCGCTTGGTGACCTCTCGACATCTGTGAGCTACTTTATTTTCATAAATTATTTTCGGGCTATAAAATGCTGACTGGCGATGAAGCTCTGATTATACACTGGTTTAAAACAGATTAGGAGTTCGATTGGAAGCAATGTAGGACAGTTCAAACAAGTCTCATTCATCGGTTAATCAGGTAAGTTATGGCGACATTTTTCTGTATATATTTGTATGTTTTCAGTACCGCGTAGTTTCCTTACATAGATCCGTTTGTTCCAGAATAACACTACGAAGCTGGATCTCAGAGTACAATCAAATTCTATCATCCAAAATTCACTAAGAAAATTTTAGTACTATGGTGAGTTTGCACCGAATGTGGGGACATTTGAGCGTTAAGTGGGAAAAAGAATAATTGCCTTTGAATAATTTCTCGATAAATAAAAAGTAAATATCAAGCGACAAAAAAAGAAATTGTCTCTGTGAGTGATTGCACTGAAAAAGATACTGTAGCCGCTGCGGCTAGAGAAACGTTTGTGGAAACTAACTGAAATGAAAGTTATTTTTGTCACAACCGGACAATCCACCCTAAAGTAGCGAATAAAAATAATTGATAATACTTTACATATTGGTAGCACTTCCTATAAATATTGCATTTGTTCATTATAATTTTGGTTTAAGACTGATTAAATCCATTATTATACATTGAACTCACTATCTCTTTTCTGATTGGCCGAAAGCGTCCAGTGAATTTTCGAAATCAGCACTAGTGACGTCATCTAGCTGTAGATTATACAATAATCATGTCAAGGATACTCAAGCTATGACCGCGGTGCATGATTTCTAAGATTAATCATGTCAAGTTCCCGCGCTTTGTGTTGCTTGCCGTCAGTGAAGAAGCAAAAACAAGACTTCCATTTTCTTTTTCATTCAATATATAATAAAACGCTTATTAGATTCGGTTTTTGTGATATCCGGAACAATCAAAGTCCCAGTACGCCTACAAGGCTCGACCTCACGAAAACCTCATCCAATGATTGTTTATTACCTCCCTGGCCTCGAGCCCAAATCTTTTTCTCACAATCTAATCACTTCCATCATTCTGGCAGCCTCAACACTTCAGTGGTTCTAAATTAAGTGCGTTGCCTATAGAAACAATCAGTTTTCTTCACGTTATTGTTATTAATCATAAAAATTACAATTTCCTCGATTGTGATTGGTTTAAAAAACTCCTATTTTCCACTAATTCACTTGCCAAGTTGTTATCGGAAGGTTTGTTATTGGACAGTTTGTTATCGGACAGTTCAATAAGCCAATCACGTTCAAAGTTGTAGTTTAAATCAACCAATCACATTCAAAGTTGTAGTTACTTGCGTGCATGCGTGCGTGCGCTTGCGGTCGTGTTTTTGGCGCCTAATTGCCGGTAGGAGGCGCGGTGGCCTTAGAATGTTTACATCTCGTTTATAGGTATTTTAATGCAAATTTTCCCTTTCTTTCATAACTTGGCTATTCTTTTCTCGGAAATTGCAATTTTTATGATTAATTGGTAATAAGACTTCGTGTCGTCCAGTTCGGTCTGTAATCATACTCGTGATAAACAAATCGGACTCCCGCTGCGCGGTCGTCCGATTTGTTATCACTCTTATGATAACCGACCGAATTGGACTCCACTCAGTTCTATTACCATTACTTATTGCAGCTAATCATGCCAGCTGTTTCAGAAATTGCTCCGAAAAAAGCCAAAAATGTCTCATATTTGGATGCAGTTTTGCGAAGAGTGACAAAAATGGTTGCAACTGGTTTCTTTTTTTGTTTTGTTTGTTTTTTTTCTTTTGTTCTTTCTGAGATCCTAACACCTCTTTTTGGCGAAAGTTGACTAGTTTTTTCACTAACTTGATAAAGATATGCATGTACTATGAATTATGACTAATATAAACAAATGGATTCCAGAGCAAATATCTTATGAACACATAACGGAGCGCGCCTCGCTAAGATTGGGAATAGTTAGCAAATAGTGATGAATTAACTGCTCATGATCAACTCTTAAAATAATCGGTCTTAAGTCTGACGTCCAGCCTTAATTTTCGTAGTAATGCGATCGAAAATAGCTATGCGACCGCGCTCGATCAGGTGATAAAATATCCACGATTATCATTCGATGTAGTTTTTCCTCCTTTTCATTGGCCAAGAGCCCACCACGTGACCTGCAAATAACTGCCTACAAATAATGGTCTGCTCATACGTAGTACCCTCTAAATGTGTTTTACTGCAAAGAAGATTCTGCGTATTTGTAACCACATCGTTTACCTGAGTTGTCAGAGAGTGGTTTAAACATGAAAACAAACTTAGTGACTAAATGATAAAATAATTATTGAACTCGGTCATCGCAAAATATCTTTTATTTTAATAAACTTTATTGGGAATGATATATAATAAAGTAAAAACGAAAACAAAAACAAGAAGAAATTGAAGATAATAGTTCCCAAAAGGGAAAGGGCGAACGGGACGAGAGTACCCATGCGAGGCGCTTCCCAGCTGATTGGTCAGTGTCGCGCAGATCAATTATTTGCTTCAGCCTTCGTAGATAATTGATCTACTCACCACTGACAAATCACGATATTTTGCTCAACATCGTCCAGTAATTTTTATCTATCTGTAGCTCACACAGATGAGATTGAGACCTCAACATTTTACAATTATTTTATCATCTTGATGCGCTTTATTTGTACTTCATTTTTGGTTTGAACCGTCTCTGTCACTCACGGTTGTATGGCATATTTACTTTTTTAAGGCATCATTTACGTTTTTAAGGGTCTCCACAGACTAGACATTTAGTTGTCGACAACTCATCGTGTCCGATGCAAGCATTCCACACATTAGAGTGTTAGTTGTCGACCACTAAGTCAGATCAGCGAGAACTTGGGAACTAACGTTCACTAGGCATTTTCACAACACAATACGCATGTTCAAATATGTGTCATGACAGTTACATTTGCGACAGCTAAAGCAGTTTCTCTTTTCGAATAGGGAAACTGCTTAGTTGTCGACGACTAAAAATTTAGCGTTTAGTTGTCGACAACTCATGACACACCAGGTTTTTTAGTTGTCGATAACATTAGTCTAACATTTTAGTTGTCGAGAACAAATAGTTATCGAAAACTAAGTGCCTTGTCTGTGGAGGCCTTAAGGCATCTTTGAGAGAATGGATGTAATTTTCAAGTGGTGTATTATATTTTCAACCCAGAATACCAGCCAAGCAAGAGAATGAGTATTTGTTGTTTTTGCAAACTGGTTCTTAGTTTGGTAATGTCCAAATAGACCTTATCACGGTTCTTGTCTGAACCAAATTTGAGGGACGTAGCTGAGCTAGAAAGCGTTCAGTGGAGTTTAACGCAGCTACATCCCAAATTCATTGGTATAGATGCAATCCTTTGACTAAGATCTTTGCTTTCCACATATAACTCAATTTTTAAGAAAATTATTTGCCATCGGGTTAACAAACAAACACTTTAATTTCTGACGCATGTTACTTTCCAAGGGACGACAACTACATGTATCAGACCGATTTTTCCGAGACATAAACATTCTATTGTCTTATTGTCCACCACTAATGGGCAGATAGTGTCTCTCCGCAGATAAACACTATCGTATCACGTGATCAGTTTAAACCAATAGGAATCTGGCAAAATGTAATGCAGTGTGGCGAACTATGATTTGAATTAATTTGGACCTTTCCGTGTGCAAGTTGAACCAAGATGGCTACATATTTGTTCTGTTTGAAAATAAATGAAAAGAAAAAAATTCCTCTTACTGCCAATTTTGTATTTGAATTTTTCCATCTAATTATTTCCAAACTGGACCAGAATTTGCAGTAATGCCGTTAGCTGTAAGAAACATCTGTGATCATAAGAACATGTGAATTTCATTCGGTATCACATGACATTAGCTGTGTGTAACAGCTGCTAAGATCCTCAACCCAACGTCACTGTTTCCCTGATAATTACTGAAACATCTGTCAAGCCTGTTAACAATGCTTACAGATCGAGTCACCCTACTAGTTTAGCTCTACAGTTATTTTTTTCTATATATTATGTTTCACTTCACACTTCAGGCACCAGAAGCTTGTAGGTATTCTGTTCTGGGCATAATTTTGTTAAGGAATTTCCTCTTTTTCTCTCCGGCATCTCTCCGGATTACACAACTAAATCTTTTTAGTATTCGGATAGATATGAGACACTTCCAGTTTATTAAGAAGAGAAAATGGCTTTTCCTTCAGTTGCAGTCTAATTTTTGAAGGTTGTCATTTTTACTCGTGCTTAGGCCTGGGTGAAATCGGGCAGGATACACTTAAAAATTCGAGGTTTGAAATGGATGTTCGACACGGAAAATTAAATGAAATCAAAAAGGATTTTTTTCAATTTTTTTATTGCGCCAGAAAAAAATAATGAAAAGTCTGCCATTAAACTCACAAAATAGGCCATCACGATAGAGAAACAAAACACCATGCGTTTAACTCTAGAGAGCAGTCTTACCATAGGAATAACTCGAAGAAAAATCTCAAGGAACACATTTAGCACAGTTAACGTATGGTTGAACTCGCAACAGCTCCCTCAACTGACTGTTCACAAATTCTTGGTTTGAGAACGTGCTTAAGTTAACATTTGCCGAAAATGGTTCGGAAACACCTTGGCAAACAAAAGCTACAACCAAAATTTTATGTACAGCTGAAATAAAAAACATTACTTTTTCGGCACAAAACTACTGAGCGACGACTCAACTAAATGTCCAGCAGGAACTTTTGGAATCCGCTCGCTCGGCCGGCTGTATTTCCGATTCTCTATCATGACACAAGAAATCTGTGAAGGCATCTGATGTCTTCAGGCATAACTAAAGGCCGTCTCTTTTAAAGTCAATGTTATTCAGTCACTAGGGGTTACGGTTATGTGTTACACAATCATAATAATGATATTTTTCACGCTTAAGACAATACAAGACAAGACAAGCAAGAAAACATGTACTTGTAACACAGAATTTGTGAGGTTAAATACTGACATAAGTTAAAATTATCGACACGGTAGCTGGTCAACCAAAATATTAATTACTATAGGGTGCTGAAACTAGTTGGGTGACCAGCATCGCGGTATAAGACCCTGGCCATTACACATATGTTATCGCAGTACGTTTAAGTTATTCCGCGAAAGTCGAAAATTGGAGAAAACGGTCAGATTGAGTTCAAAATGGCAGATGTAAGGTAAAGATAATGCTTGCTTTCATTTGGTAGATCTGTCTTCGAAGACCGATAAAATAACCTGGCAGATTAGTGAGCTGGTTAGTTTGTTGGCTAAAAACTATTGCCGTATCTAAACTAGTAGATTCTACTGAACACTGACAACTCATAAGAAATGTTAACATAAAGCTAGAAATCAGAAATGAAATGGGGGGCAAAGTATATTTATCTTGGACGTAAGACACTCAAACTAATGCCTCATGAGATGATAAGGAACAGAAAGAAACGTAATGATATGAACAGAACAGAGCACATTTTGTAATGAAAAGTGTCAGTTGTGTTCACTGAGTCTTTGGCGAATCAGAATTAAATTATACTTGTTATGATATCTACATCATTTAAAGAGGTAAATACAGGTACCTTAATTTGATCCTAACCCGTTTCGAGCCGTTAATACGAGGACACTTTTATCGCCCAGCGGTGAACAACATAACCGGTGCGACCCACTGCCTGGTTACCGGCCGTCTACTTTAGCAGTCGTCACGGACGTTAACAAATGTTCCGCTCAGATGAATTTGTTTACGCCGATTTTGCTTCATTTTGGAAACAATGTTTTATTGTTGTTGTTTTCTTCTTTGGTAACTGCGCTCGTCAATTTCTTGGACAATGGCCTGTTTGATTCATTTTTTCACTAGAACCACGAGCTATCTAAACCTTGTGTTTTTTTCGCCGGAAAAAGCCTGGTACACCCCGGATTTTATACATTGAATGTGTACTTCGTGTTCTTCATGATAAAATAGCGAGCTGGCAGTTTTATATTCTCTGAAGTTTGATCTGGGACCGGTAATAATCCTTAAAGGTACCGTTAATTACATTTTAAAACCAATGTTACAGAACGGAGATTTCGGTATTTCCTTGGATAATCCTAGACCACTTAATTACATAGATTTTTAACGATAAAACCATAATTACAAATCCGCGCTTTAAACGAGGTATTCAATAGTTCAGTCGATAAGCCTTCCATGAGAATTATCTATTTGCTGCGGAAGCTTAAAATTTCCACGTTAATGTTTTTGTCAGTGCGTGATGATTGTCTTTTTGCTACAATTCTGTCACTTCCTGTAAATAAACTTTCCTTGGGTTAATTTTTTAAACGGCTAAAACTCCGTGACTGATTTATGTTTTTTTATCATTATTATTTAACATCTTCAGAATTAATTGAAGCGCGCTTAATTTCTTCTGTGCGAACAAAAAATAGGTTATTGCCCGTCGTATTTTCTTTTCTCTGCGCACGGTTGTTATCGTTGCCAGTATTTTTTTTATGAATGTTAAAATGAATTTATCTTGGGTGTGAATTTCAATGCCCCGAAGGTTAAATCCTTTCTCGTTAATAATACGAAATTTTGTGTGTATGTTTCTACTTAAATATTTAAACGGGCGAATTTGAAGAATGCTCAGTAATATTGTGGTGAATGCAACACGTTTGAATGTTCTGTGCTTTTGGGTGAAAAGCTTATCAAATTGGACGTCAGCAAATGTTCACAAAATACCCGTTAATATGATAGCACACAGCAGCTGTATTTACGGCGTAAAGTGCACGAAGTTTCCGCGATTCTCCTATATCCATCAATTACAAAGCCTGATGGTTGATCTCATTGAGTAATAAAAGAACTAAGCGCTGATTGGTGGACACAATATGCAAATTACATGACCAGACGTTCGGCTTTTCTATATTTCTGAATTAATGCGCTCTCTTTCGGTGATTTCTTGTTCAGGATGAATTTTGATGAATGAATAATCTTCCCTGCTCATTTTCCATGACGTGCTCTTTTCGTATAACAGGTGACAAGGAAAACCAAGTCCAAATGTTTCCATGGCGGACGAATCGAAAGATCCCATCAAAAACTCAGAAAACAAGCTACGAGCGGCTACTGAGGTTTTCCAGCGCAAATATCGCTCAATGTCCACTTATGGGGAACAAGTCATCGATGATGCAAACCGTTCGAAGAAAGCGCTTTTCTGTTTACCGGAAGACAACCCTGTAAGATTCTACTGCAAAAAGATCGTCGAATCCAAGTATCCTTTGCTGAAGAACTTTAAAAAATAATCATCATCGTAACTAATATATTTTTGCTTGAATTTTCATCAGTTAGTCCCTTTTGTTCATGACACTTGTGTTATATTTAACTATATTACCTTACGGCTTGCCGATACCTCATGGTTTGGTTGATGTAATTTTAATTTCAAGCTGCCTTAAGTCTGCCCGCGATCAGTGTTCAGAATCGCCCGCGATTTTGTCGAGATCATCACGGCGACTTCCAGAGCGTGTCATCAGAAATGTTGACACGATGTAGAATACGATTACTCCAAACCTTAAAATTAAATTTTTCAGATTGGAAATTCTGCGTGATATTTTTCGTTTCTATTCCCTGACGATTCAATGTTTATATTACAGCGCCTAGGCACTTGCAACTCTTTTTGCATTTTATTTTATCTTATTTTATTTTTATTATATTGGAGTAACAAAAATTAGTTGCAAAATTGGTTGCTGTGTTGCTGTTTTCGTTAACTCTTAGTCCAGAAAGTTTGAATATTTCATTTTACTGACTATCGCCGCAAATTGTGTCGTTCTAATGTTGGAAGAGCCACTACCCAATGGAGATACAACAGATCGCAACAAAAAACTGGTAAGAAATGATTTTAATGTCTTCACTAACCAAAGATGCCATTTAAGTGAGGACTCCATCTCGGCGCAATTGCTTAAGGAAGCCATTTCAGTGCAGCCAGTACTTCAACAAAATTCAAGAACAAGAAACAAAATTTAAAGAAAATTGCCAAAAGAGTGTATGTGTTACGGCTGACGGGAATTTATCACCACGGCGATGTATTTATAACATTTTTCAGTTGATTTTCTGCTTTAATTTTAACAGGAAGAATCTGAAAAGTATTTTGTTATCATTTACTGTATTGAGGCTGCAACGAAGATTATTGCTAATGGATTTCTGCTTCATAAGGATGCGTACCTGCGAAATGGCTGGAATATCTTGGATTTTGTGGTGGTTGTCGTTGGGTAAGGTTTTTATTTATCTAAGTGACAGTAGAGTTTGCGTACATTAACATTCTGTTCCTTCAGCTGTCTTTATTGTCAATGCTATTTGGGCCGGAAATTTCATTTGCAGATGAATGACTCATGGGTCGCGGGAAACAGAGCGGCTTGGCATAATTCAAGAAAAAAAACCTAACCAAACGATTTCTGATTCTATTACTCTCGCCATTTTAGAAGAACTCCTGTTGTGCGAATGACGATAAAAAATAAACCAGAATGAATTATCAAAGAGTTTTGTTTAAGATCAGCTAGGGATGCTCCAGCAGGTCTTATTGAAATTTGCTCTCATTTCGCCGGCAATAAAATCGTCTTCAGAATAAATATTCTAAACAAGCAAAACATTCGCAGAATCTGGCGAATATTAAGTTCTATATATATCACACAGCTGTGTTGTTATGGTATTAATCCGACGAGCAAAAGAAAATTCACGAACCAGGAGCTTTTTTTAAAATGGACTTTTCCTTATCAGTGAAGTTAGATGCGANATGTACTTGTAACACAGAATTTGTGAGGTTAAATACTGACATAAGTTAAAATTATCGACACGGTAGCTGGTCAACCAAAATATTAATTACTATAGGGTGCTGAAACTAGTTGGGTGACCAGCATCGCGGTATAAGACCCTGGCCATTACACATATGTTATCGCAGTACGTTTAAGTTATTCCGCGAAAGTCGAAAATTGGAGAAAACGGTCAGATTGAGTTCAAAATGGCAGATGTAAGGTAAAGATAATGCTTGCTTTCATTTGGTAGATCTGTCTTCGAAGACCGATAAAATAACCTGGCAGATTAGTGAGCTGGTTAGTTTGTTGGCTAAAAACTATTGCCGTATCTAAACTAGTAGATTCTACTGAACACTGACAACTCATAAGAAATGTTAACATAAAGCTAGAAATCAGAAATGAAATGGGGGGCAAAGTATATTTATCTTGGACGTAAGACACTCAAACTAATGCCTCATGAGATGATAAGGAACAGAAAGAAACGTAATGATATGAACAGAACAGAGCACATTTTGTAATGAAAAGTGTCAGTTGTGTTCACTGAGTCTTTGGCGAATCAGAATTAAATTATACTTGTTATGATATCTACATCATTTAAAGAGGTAAATACAGGTACCTTAATTTGATCCTAACCCGTTTCGAGCCGTTAATACGAGGACACTTTTATCGCCCAGCGGTGAACAACATAACCGGTGCGACCCACTGCCTGGTTACCGGCCGTCTACTTTAGCAGTCGTCACGGACGTTAACAAATGTTCCGCTCAGATGAATTTGTTTACGCCGATTTTGCTTCATTTTGGAAACAATGTTTTATTGTTGTTGTTTTCTTCTTTGGTAACTGCGCTCGTCAATTTCTTGGACAATGGCCTGTTTGATTCATTTTTTCACTAGAACCACGAGCTATCTAAACCTTGTGTTTTTTTCGCCGGAAAAAGCCTGGTACACCCCGGATTTTATACATTGAATGTGTACTTCGTGTTCTTCATGATAAAATAGCGAGCTGGCAGTTTTATATTCTCTGAAGTTTGATCTGGGACCGGTAATAATCCTTAAAGGTACCGTTAATTACATTTTAAAACCAATGTTACAGAACGGAGATTTCGGTATTTCCTTGGATAATCCTAGACCACTTAATTACATAGATTTTTAACGATAAAACCATAATTACAAATCCGCGCTTTAAACGAGGTATTCAATAGTTCAGTCGATAAGCCTTCCATGAGAATTATCTATTTGCTGCGGAAGCTTAAAATTTCCACGTTAATGTTTTTGTCAGTGCGTGATGATTGTCTTTTTGCTACAATTCTGTCACTTCCTGTAAATAAACTTTCCTTGGGTTAATTTTTTAAACGGCTAAAACTCCGTGACTGATTTATGTTTTTTTATCATTATTATTTAACATCTTCAGAATTAATTGAAGCGCGCTTAATTTCTTCTGTGCGAACAAAAAATAGGTTATTGCCCGTCGTATTTTCTTTTCTCTGCGCACGGTTGTTATCGTTGCCAGTATTTTTTTTATGAATGTTAAAATGAATTTATCTTGGGTGTGAATTTCAATGCCCCGAAGGTTAAATCCTTTCTCGTTAATAATACGAAATTTTGTGTGTATGTTTCTACTTAAATATTTAAACGGGCGAATTTGAAGAATGCTCAGTAATATTGTGGTGAATGCAACACGTTTGAATGTTCTGTGCTTTTGGGTGAAAAGCTTATCAAATTGGACGTCAGCAAATGTTCACAAAATACCCGTTAATATGATAGCACACAGCAGCTGTATTTACGGCGTAAAGTGCACGAAGTTTCCGCGATTCTCCTATATCCATCAATTACAAAGCCTGATGGTTGATCTCATTGAGTAATAAAAGAACTAAGCGCTGATTGGTGGACACAATATGCAAATTACATGACCAGACGTTCGGCTTTTCTATATTTCTGAATTAATGCGCTCTCTTTCGGTGATTTCTTGTTCAGGATGAATTTTGATGAATGAATAATCTTCCCTGCTCATTTTCCATGACGTGCTCTTTTCGTATAACAGGTGACAAGGAAAACCAAGTCCAAATGTTTCCATGGCGGACGAATCGAAAGATCCCATCAAAAACTCAGAAAACAAGCTACGAGCGGCTACTGAGGTTTTCCAGCGCAAATATCGCTCAATGTCCACTTATGGGGAACAAGTCATCGATGATGCAAACCGTTCGAAGAAAGCGCTTTTCTGTTTACCGGAAGACAACCCTGTAAGATTCTACTGCAAAAAGATCGTCGAATCCAAGTATCCTTTGCTGAAGAACTTTAAAAAATAATCATCATCGTAACTAATATATTTTTGCTTGAATTTTCATCAGTTAGTCCCTTTTGTTCATGACACTTGTGTTATATTTAACTATATTACCTTACGGCTTGCCGATACCTCATGGTTTGGTTGATGTAATTTTAATTTCAAGCTGCCTTAAGTCTGCCCGCGATCAGTGTTCAGAATCGCCCGCGATTTTGTCGAGATCATCACGGCGACTTCCAGAGCGTGTCATCAGAAATGTTGACACGATGTAGAATACGATTACTCCAAACCTTAAAATTAAATTTTTCAGATTGGAAATTCTGCGTGATATTTTTCGTTTCTATTCCCTGACGATTCAATGTTTATATTACAGCGCCTAGGCACTTGCAACTCTTTTTGCATTTTATTTTATCTTATTTTATTTTTATTATATTGGAGTAACAAAAATTAGTTGCAAAATTGGTTGCTGTGTTGCTGTTTTCGTTAACTCTTAGTCCAGAAAGTTTGAATATTTCATTTTACTGACTATCGCCGCAAATTGTGTCGTTCTAATGTTGGAAGAGCCACTACCCAATGGAGATACAACAGATCGCAACAAAAAACTGGTAAGAAATGATTTTAATGTCTTCACTAACCAAAGATGCCATTTAAGTGAGGACTCCATCTCGGCGCAATTGCTTAAGGAAGCCATTTCAGTGCAGCCAGTACTTCAACAAAATTCAAGAACAAGAAACAAAATTTAAAGAAAATTGCCAAAAGAGTGTATGTGTTACGGCTGACGGGAATTTATCACCACGGCGATGTATTTATAACATTTTTCAGTTGATTTTCTGCTTTAATTTTAACAGGAAGAATCTGAAAAGTATTTTGTTATCATTTACTGTATTGAGGCTGCAACGAAGATTATTGCTAATGGATTTCTGCTTCATAAGGATGCGTACCTGCGAAATGGCTGGAATATCTTGGATTTTGTGGTGGTTGTCGTTGGGTAAGGTTTTTATTTATCTAAGTGACAGTAGAGTTTGCGTACATTAACATTCTGTTCCTTCAGCTGTCTTTATTGTCAATGCTATTTGGGCCGGAAATTTCATTTGCAGATGAATGACTCATGGGTCGCGGGAAACAGAGCGGCTTGGCATAATTCAAGAAAAAAAACCTAACCAAACGATTTCTGATTCTATTACTCTCGCCATTTTAGAAGAACTCCTGTTGTGCGAATGACGAGAAAAAATAAACCAGAATGAATTATCAAAGAGTTTTGTTTAAGATCAGCTAGGGATGCACCAGCAGGTCTTATTGAAATTTGCTCTCATTTCGCCGGCAATAAAATCGTCTTCAGAATAAATATTCTAAACAAGCAAAACATTCGCAGAATCTGGCGAATATTAAGTTCTATATATATCACACAGCTGTGTTGTTATGGTATTAATCCGACGAGCAAAAGAAAATTCACGAACCAGGAGCTTTTTTTAAAATGGACTTTTCCTTATCAGTGAAGTTAGATGCGAGTTTCGGGCTGTTATATTTTATATATAAATATATTTTTGTATGTTCTGCGGGCAGCCGGGTGCTAGCTTAAAAATGTTTTTTGTAAAGCGAAATACCCTTTACCTTTTAGAACGAACAAGATTTAAAGAGTTTTTTTAGTTCACAATTTGTAGCCCTTGAACGAATGAATGAATGAATGAATGAATGAATGAATGAATGAATGAATTTTCGAGCAGAATAGTGAATAGCATACTTATAAATTTCGGTTCGACCTCTTATCGGGTGCCAATGATATTACGGTGAGCCGAGCGGCATACAGATTACAATAGTTCCAACTCTAAGTATTTTCCTCACGGCAGTCAATCTTGCCATTGTTAACCTTCATTTATTTGATGTTTCTGAACATAAGGACCGTATAAATATTGCTGGCATTGTTTTAAAAGCTAAGCAGTAAGTGCTAACAATATAAAACATTTGCAAAAAATCGCCTGTTCAACGAATTAAGCGAACAATGGACATAAATGCATGCTAACGCCTAACAATGACTGGATGGTTCTTGATTGTTCTTTTTCATGCGCTTTTAAGAGTCGCTTTCTTTGTTTCAATGCACACCCGGTTCACAACTGCAGCGCTCGGCCGGTGGAAAATTGAGAAGAGTCAAATTTCTTCTTTTTTAGCTTTCTTGCTTGAATGAAAGCCGAGATCCAAAGCCTGCAGCACAAATGCGTTGAAACTGATATATCGGCAAGACAACTCGTGTTTTCTGTTTTTTAGCTTTCTTGCTTGAATGAAAGCCAAGATCCAAAGCCTGCAGCACAAATGCGTTGAATCTGATATATCGGCAAGACAACTCGTGTTAAGATATTTTTAGACGAACAAGGATAAGTAAAATTAAAGCCCCACAGGGACACCTTCCTCGTTCTTAGTAGCTTGGTTAGGATTACCGGTCCTGTGTTATCTTTTAGCCTGGAAGGAAAATCGATCCGCGTAAAGACGAAATTAAAAATTAAACAGATGTTTAAAAACGTGGCTTAATCTTTGTTTAATTCTGGAATAAAAATTGTTAAATTGTCTTTGAGATAGTGCTCAGCGAATTTCACAGTTCTTGCTATTTATTTAATTGTTCATGAAAACTCTATCCGCTGTCAGAATTGCATTAAAAATTTTTTTTCGATCTGTTTTAGCGGTTTATTAACCCTTATGGAAATTGGCCTGTATAGGAACAAAATATCTGATTTAGAATCTAAATTAAGTGTCATTTTCACCATGAGGGAACACATTTTTTTTTTCAATTTATGCCATGTACACGTCCAGCATATAACTTGCTTCTCAAATTTATATGGTTGTGGCTTTTTGGTTTCACGATTTTTACCTCCGTACATCTAGTTTCTAATATGAATATCAATAATGAAAAGTGCATTGTCTTCCTCTGTCAAAACTGAAAGGTTGCTCTATAGTTTATGATGAATGCGTTCGGTTATCTTACTGTCCTCCCCTCACTAACTGATTGCTGATCTGCATTTAACTCGTATTTGTTTTCGAAATAAAAATTTCAAACTTTTGGGCGACTTGTCGACATAAAATTTTGCATTCTACACTTCCATAATATAAATGTGTAATCGCGATATTTTGAATATCTCCATACCTTTTTTTCTTCAATATAACTTGTCCGTGTGAACATTGTTTTACCCCAGAAAGGAAACTGAATTCGTTCAAACTACAATCTAATTGCGTTCTTGCCGGATAATGTAAAAAGTCTCAATGTGAATCGAAGGATACAACAAGGAACAATTTTATTGATCATTAGATGTTATATTTATGAGTGACTTATCTTTTACGTGTATGTTCCGAATATTCTTGCGAGCGTAAATCTCTTTTTGCGGATATATTAATCTGATTCTACATTTAAATAACTGAAACAAGATTAAACATTTCAGCGTTTTTGAAGAAACCTTTCTGAGGTAGCCGACGAATTTCCTGTTGCCGTGAATTATACAGACGCTCCGGAAAATACCAAACGTCGCCACTATTGGGAAACGTCCTGTTACTAAGCAACAACTCGACCGCAAAATTGTGGGCTCCGCTGAAATTCAAAACGAAATGAAAACGCTTATTTACTCAACTCATAAAATAAATTGCAGGCAAAACTGGTTAGATAAATATCAGAACGTGCTTTCATAGAAAGGAAGTTTGAGGTATATATAGCATCAAGAGGAAAATACGCAAGTGACAAGACGTTTTTGACCTACAAATGTAAGAAGGTATTGTTTTGCTGTTATTAAATTTAGTTGAACTCTGAGAAAACGTTTGATGCTTTGACAGTTTGTTTTAGGATCACGTCTAAATTGCTCTTTTGCGTTTCCTCTTCCTTGAGTGATCATGCCGCAAGACATTTATAATCCATTTCTGTGACAGGCTGGCTTATCGACAAAGTGAATCAGTAATTAGTCAACTTTATAGGAGCGTTAAATAACCTTTTAGCTAAAAGGAATCAAGCTGTATCAGGAATTGTGTTCGTGTTATGTCTTGAGAAAGATGCAAGGGTGTCTTGTTTTTATGTTCAAATTTCTGGCCTTAACTTCTCGACATCATAACTAATGCCCATATTCAAGTTACTGTAGGTTAAAAATATATCTAACGCCACATTTTCAGCCTACCTTTTTTCGAGTGAAGTGCATCTCAATATTTTTACTGTGTTTATGCATATATTCTTCGCCTTTTCACGGTTTATTGATTATCATTTTTCTCCCTAAGGGAAAATTGGACTTCCCGAAAGATCACGACTTTATAGTCCTTATCAGAAACACATCATATTTGTCTTGTCTGGTGTTTTAATTCTTAAATCTTTTGTTCGCTTGCCAGATACAAACTTAATTTCTTATCAATTTCTTCTTTTTCTTGACGTAATTCCACTCACGGAGTCCAAACTCGATTATACAATGGGTGACGGATGACGTCAATGTCCGGACACTTAGTTCCTCTTTAATGATGCTGTCACTGGTAGTTTGAAATTGACCGTATTATGACTGATTTTCCGTTCATAATATCCCACCCCTGTCCAAATGTATTCATTACGAGCTGTTCAGTTCTGATGACTTGTTTATACGTTTCCCAGCTGTCTCTGACGGGTTAGCAATGCAAGCACTATTTTCCGAACTTAATTTTCTAATGATTAACAATACATAAATTAACGTGTAACAATTTTTGTTAATATATTGACTCTTCAAACCCACGTAATTTGCAGATTTACACGAGGCTAGTATTTTATTGCTAGCTAATTTCCATTTTTAGGCTGAGGCTATATTAGTGCTAAAGACTGTTTTGATTGACAAGGTCACATGACCGGCAGCTGGAAAGGCTTGTGGCGCATTTGTTGCTTGCTCGTCTTTATCTATTTATTGTTTTCAACCATGTTAAACTTTAGAATGATTTGAATGACAGCACATTCAAAAAATCACTTTCTAGATCGAGAACTTTCACAAGCAAAGTAAAAACTGCATTATATCCTTGCACACGACGGCTGCGCCCGCAGTACGAGCGGCTGTCAAAACCGAGCTGACCCATCGAAACGACACGATAATAGCCTTTTTCTTCGCAGCTAACATTAAATATTGGCATTGCTAAGTTGCTCTGGCCACTTCTAATGCTTAAGTTGAGAATTCTTGGTTTAGAAGGACGATAAACAGCATAATTGGTTCAAAATGACACAACTATTTGGCGACAGCCATCGAAGAGCCAAACGCGGGTGACTTATTTTTTGGCGCCAAATCAAAAGCTTAGAGACACTGAAATGTTTGATCTTTTTTTTTTTTTTACTTTTTATAATCTGATATGGTTTTATGATAATTCCCTTTTCGTGAATATTCGATGCCATCACCAGTGAGAAACGATGCCCGACTTCAATGCCTTTCTTGTTAACATGTATTTGACATTAGGACAGTACAGTTTTTCCAACTTGCTGAATCCTGATTGGTCGATTCAAATTTCAGGCGATTAGCCGTGTGCAAGGATGTCATGGGTCGAGTCTTATTACTATGTGGGCTGATATGTTATTTAACAGGTTGGTTGGTATGATATCTGACCTGGAGATTTCAGGAGATGGTGATAGCAACAGCATCAAAGAATCTGAGTCGCTGAAGGTCCTCCGGGCAGTGCGAGTGCTCCGTCCCCTTAAAATAGTTTCTGGAATACCAAGTGAGTGAAACTTGTGCAGCTGCTCTGTTGTCACTAGTCTGCCTGTTCTAACTAATTAACGCAATCATCATTTTTCTAACCGCAATAATAATCATAATCAAATTTGGACTCAATCTAAAGAGCGACACGAAAAAGAAAACATTTAACCATGCAAACAAACAATTCGGCCAACGTATTAACACCCTGGTGCCTACGTGATTTATCATTTGGGAGGTCACAACTGCGCAATTTGCCACACGTGAACTGATCGCAGGAGAGTATGTGCAAACAGAACAATTGTAATCTCCCAAATGAATCGTCACATGATTTAATTGGGTAGTCCTTAAGCACATTGGTGTTCAGGCAGTTGTACATTATACGTTTTTGTCACTGAAGTGTTCGCTCTCCCAAAAAGTTGCTAAAATACTTGGATAAAAAATCGTTATTTTGGTTCTAAATTTTTCACCCTAACAATGGCTGGCAACGAAGTATAACTGTTTATCAACTACCTTACTTCTCAGGTGAAACCGCTGACATGAGCTCAGTTTCCACTCAATTTACTTATTCCGAATTTGTTTGTACAAAAAACGTCACTTAAGGTTATTCTATAATAATAATAATAATAATAATAATAATAATAATAATATTTAGTGAGGGAATCCAACTCGCCAAAGGCGATTTTCAGTGGAGCCCTCCTAAATAAAAATCACCTAAAAATGACATGGGGAGTGCGGCAAGCAACATGGCGTCAAGTATCACGGGTTTACGGTGCTCCCGCTATTTTTGCTTTTTACTCCTTATATATGTTGTCCTCTTCACTTTTTCGCCTCAAATACCGCTACTTCCAACTCATCGCACCGATAGCGGCATTTTACGCGTTGCCAGAGATGTTAGCCAGCCAAAAGTGTACGATTTACAACTTTCAAGGAGGTCGATTAACTCTTGCAAGACGTCGCCATCGCTAACAAACAGAGAACTCGCTGTTGCTAGCTGCCGCTTAGCACGTTCAGCGTCGTTCGCACTTCTACTTATTTGTCTTGCCCGCGACGTCGCACTAAATCCTGGCACTGTTACACCACCAAGTCTTTCTGTGAGAGATTTTACGCAGTGTCAAGGACTAAAGATCGCACGATCTCAAGCATTGCATTGCGCATCCCTACTACGCATAATTTCACGCGTGATTAGCGCAAGCGCATTAAAAAATGGCGGCTTTTTCTTTACAGCTGGACCTCGCCATAGAGGTAAATCGTCATTTTCTCGCAAACGAGTTTGGTGACCTATCATTTTTTTTCTGTTGTTTTGAATTGAGTAATAAATTTTTTGTAAAATAATTATGGACCAATTCTCAGTGTAGAACAAAAAGCAATCGTCGGAAACGTGAATTTAGCAAGCAATCGTGACTACAATCATGGTGCTATTATAAAGATTTATATAGGTATAAACAAGGTGCTGTTGCTCCTAAACGAACATGTGGACCCCTCATTTTTATTTCAAAATTTAAGTTCCTATAATATAAAAAAATCAATAGGCAAAGTTTCACAAAAATCTCAGTGCAGGTTCTATTTCAGTGGAATGACCTTAAATATGACCGTAATATGTGGGGACATCCCTAGTATGGTGCCATTGCGCTTTTGGTTGTCTCCTTCTCCAATGCTTTTTGTTTGTTTGTTTTTGTTTTTAGTTAGTTATCTTAATTATTCATAATGTATTCGTATTGTATGGATTAAATCGTAATAAATAAATAAATAAATAAATAAATAAAAATGCTCAAATAATGCCGAATGCTCTTGCTAAAAACCTATCGGTTTAATTTTGCGTAGTATCCCCCTTGCATCTTGCAACTTTAACAGATATCGTCAATTTAACATTATGTTATCTTTTCTATGTTACAGGCCTTCAAGTTGTAATGAAGTCAATAGCAAGAGCCATGATTCCTCTGCTTCAGATCTTATTCTTAATTTTATTTGTTATCGTAATCTATGCTATAGTAGGGTTAGAGCTTCTTCACGGCAAGTTTCACCTTACATGTTATGACGCCATAACAGGTAAGGAATAACAAACATTGCTCACTCATTACTACTAATTCATTCTACTTTTATGAGATTTGGTTGTAAGTTAATACATTGCCTTTTACTGCGATTTTTTTTTTTTTATTCCGACACCTTTATTCGCCTTAGTTCTGTCTTGGACCAAAGACACTTTATCATTGCAGCTCATGAATTCAGCTAAACCCCTGCATTTATTTCATATCTGGTCATACCGCCAGGAAAAAGGCAACTTTTAACTTTTAACCACTCCATTGTGACACCGCCACTCTGTACTGCTCCATGTTAACTACATCGTGAATAGCTTTGCTAGGTTTTTTTCTCTTATATATCTATTTTCAGAATGTTAACTTTTGATATTGATGTTAAAAAGCCCTCTGTCTTCAATAATAAAGCGTCTGTATGAATTGAATTTTTCAGGTGAACTCGATACAAAGTTTACTAGTCCACGTGTTTGCAGCCCACCGGGAAAGGGAGGCCGACCCTGTGAACCAGGCCTTAACTGTACAAGCAAGGAATCGGTTTGGAGTGGACCAAATAAGGGCATAAGCACGTTTGATAATATTTTTCTGTCAATGTTAACAGTATTTCAATGTATCACAATGGAGGGATGGACAGATATCATGTATCACGTGAGTTGAGAGTGAAAAACGTTTTTTCACACCACATGTGTTATATTACGGCACTATTCTGTTTTTCTGATTTCACATGTCTTACACTCTCTATCTCTTTCCCTCCTATGCGCTTCGTGGTTTTTTGTAGACACGAGCGAATATTTCAAAAGGAAATTTTACCTAACAGATCGGTTACTAGTATCTCCGGTGCTCTTGCCCCTCAACTTAGATACAGCAGCACAGCCGGTTTCTTTATGAACTTCATGATTTTCTTTACTATTAGGTCTTGATAACTACTGTTGAAAGTTAAAAGAGTTCATTTTAACTTGTTCAGGTCCATTGACAAGTAAAGATCTAACAACTTTTCTTTCGCGTGATTGTAGAGTTACGATGCCAGAGACTATAACGCCCGCGTGGTGACTTCAATCATCTACATATCGTTAATCATCATTGGTTCATTCTTTATGCTTAATCTAGTTCTTGGTGTTTTAAGCGGGTAAGTATCAACAAGTTACTTCTTTATTTAAACTGATTAAACGCTTAAAATTTAACTAAACATGATGGTTTCCAATTAAACTATCAATTCCAACTTGAGTCTATTGTAAGAACACGTAAAACATACACACAAGAAATACTATCATGTAACCTAGTTGCCTAACTTAAGTGTACGATAACGAAATGTCACATGGTTTCACATGGCTTCACATCACATGGTTTAACTTCTGTGTTGATAACAGTTTAACTGTTTGTTCTGTTCCTATAATGAAACTGTTATGAGATCCCTCTGCAAATTGAATCTGTCTGTTTTCACTGCCTTGGATACCGCCTGTGTGATATTTCGTGCATATTTTTTTTTCCTTTTCAGTGAGTTTGCGAAAGAAAGAGAAAGAGCTGAAAATCGACGGACATTTTTCAAGTACCGCAGTCGAGAGAAAATAGAAAGACAAGTTAATGCTTACACTGACTGGATAGGGAGAGCGGGTAAGCAGAGCCCCCTTAACACGAAATGCCGGCCATACCACCTTTTTTCATCAAAAAATTAAACATGTGATTAGTTAAACGAACCGAATTAGAACGATCTAAAACTCCCAGGCACTCTCGGTGACCCCCATTGAGGCTGCGCGATCGCGAGTGACCTCATCGAATTTGAACCACTTTTGAGAGTCTCTAGAGCTTAAAACACTAACAGTAAATAGTTAACAACGAATTGCTTTTGATCATGCTCTTAAACTCTGGCAAAAGAAAAAGAAAAGCTCTAGCGAAGAACGGAAAGCTGCAAGAACGCTTAACACCATATGATTGTCATCCATTCGTTGACGCCCCAAAATCAATGAACCTCGTTCTTCACATCACATATATTTTTCGAAAACGGTCGTTCGACTTAATTCAGTATTCTAAAAAAACTCGGCATTAAAAAAAAAAATTAGAATATTAGTCTATACAGAATTACTGAAATAGTTTTGATAAAATAATCATTCAGTCTGTTAACTGGATTATAAACTGATAACTTGTTTGTGTTTTTAGAGGATATACTATTAAGGGAAGAAAGAGAAAAGCACGGAGTTGGTGAAGGTAACTTGAAGATTTTGACGACTTGTACTTAATGTTTACGTTAAGCGGCTGTTTTATAAAAAGAAAACAATCTATTTCAAACTAATGTCCTTCATGAGTCAACCATGATTGAAACCATTGTTTATTTTTGTATTTAGTTCTTTTGTGTCAAAAGCTGTCGATTTATTTTCATAATGATCCTTAAGACTACTGCACAAAATTTTATCTTATAAATTCACTCAAACTTTTATCCTGTCGAGTGTCTGGTTGGGTATCAAGATCTCCTTCTGAGATAAACGATTTTCTTTCTCTGTCGCCACCTATCAATTTTGTAACCATACAGGTGGTCCAAGAGACCCATTGAAGAAGCGCTACAGTCTGTCTGACTCAATCATGCATCTCATAGAGGATCATGGGGAAATGGTGAAGTATCTCAGAAACAAGTCTGAAAGGTACAAACCTGCTGTATACAAAATATATTACATGCCATATATTCATTAGGAAAGCTTTTCATGAGAGTAGTATTTTTTACGGTAACTGCAGAAATTCTCGCGCGCTCATTGGCTAATTTTCATTGCCAATATGCGGACAGACACATATGCGTCAACGAGTGAGAGTGGACAATTTGACAATTTGTTATCGTAAAAAGCAAATTGATGTCAGTTTTTCAGGCGTCTGTCCTGTTATTGACAATGAATTTCTTCATAATGTTGTCAAAGTAGTCTGCGGATCCACTCGGCTATTGCCTCGTGGATCCACAGCTACTCTGACAATGCTATGACGAAATTCATCATCAATAACATGACAGACGCAGGAAAAACTGAAGTCAATTTGTTAAATTGGACGCGGTGAAAGAAACCATTATTACAAGCTAACGAGCAGTTTAGTGCCTTAACGTTTTCACTGTTCCTTTTTAGTTCCAGTACGATGCGGAAAGTCAAGAAAAAAGAAAAGTTATTGCGAATCCAAGTTCGTCACATGGTTAAAAGTCAAGTTTTCTATTGGTCGGTTATAGTGTGTGTTTTCCTCAACACCGTGCTGATGTCTGTTGAGCATTATGGACAACCTGATTGGCTGGAGAAGTTTCAAGGTGAGTACCAATTGTTGTAAAAGAAACAATTGAGTATTTAGACGCACCTATAAGTCTTTTTATTTCAGTATATATCAAAATTACACTTCTAAACAACTATTATTTAACAAATATCCGGAATGCAGATATAAAGTTAAAAAAATTGAAACTTCAATCAGTTCATACAAAATTAACACTGGAAAGATGAACAAATCTGGTTTGAGTGGCAGGTTGGGATTTTAGAACGAGGTCGTTGGCGGTGTTAACGGGTGGCCGCATTAACGGGATTTTCTTATAAGAAATGGGCGTTTCACTGGGACACAAAACGTGGCCGTAATAACTAGGTGACAGTGTTAACGAGGTGACTCATTCAGGAGGATATAACAACCAGGCTTGTCTTTAAGTTTAGTAACCCTGCGCATGAGTTGTGTGTATTTACCAGTAAAATGTTTGCTTTAAAACGTTTTCTTATTATTATTGCTGCATTTTTTGTTAATTGTTTCTATTTACCTTCACAGAAATTTCAGAATATGTCTTTCTCAGCATATTTATAGCCGAGATGCTATTAAAAATGTATGGCCTGGGCCCGAGAGTGTACTTCAAGTCGGCGTTCAACAGATTTGACTGTGCGGTAAAATATACACATTTGTTCTTTTACTGGGAAAGTAATTTTTAATAATCAGGCAAATTTATTTTGTATTGAGACATTATACTTTTGAAAGGTTGTTGTGAAACTGTCCTAGGTCCTTTGATTATAAGGAAAGAACACAATGAATGCTGATAAGATTGCGATAGAGGCTAGGATAGTAAAACGTTCTGCTCATCAAATTTTTCGTTAAGCCCAAGAAACATGCTGTCTCTTTTTTCGCTTCCCTACAATACACAAACACTTTATGCCTCTTATTTTTGCCTCTTTTTCTGCAGGTTGTTCTTGGAGGGATTATAGAGATAGTTGTACAGACATTTACTGATTATAGCTTTGGTATAAGTGTTCTTCGTAGTCTTCGTCTTCTAAGAATTTTTAAATTTACGAGGTGAGAAAGAATCACAAGTTTTTCACAAGGTGGAAATATTTCCTTCAACATAACTGTCTCAAATTTGTTTGTTGCAGCTTGAAGAGTAAATGCTTTGTTGCTTTTTGTATAAAATCAAGTTAAAATATTTTGTTTGCAGCAGTTTTTATGAAAATTTGTCACACATTAATAATCTGCAACCTTACCCCTTACCCCTTATATTAGCTTATATCTTGTCGCAAACCTTAAATACTTTTGTACTAAAGAGTAACAACTGGACAATCCCTTGATCATTGTCATATTATTTTGCGGTTGTAGGTTTTGGGCTTCATTACGTAACTTTGTGACGTCATTGTTAAACAGCATGCGGTCCATCCTCAGCCTCATTTTCCTTCTGTTTCTTTTCATCTTCATATTTGCTCTACTTGGTATGCAGCTCTTTGGTGGAAAGTGAGTAAAAAATGTTGGGTTAATGTGAGCCTCAAAAAATGTCGAAGGGTCTATATCCACCAATATCAGTGATGAAAGAGGTTAAAGCCGGGGTACGCTAATGTCCATAATGCCCTTAATAATTGTTGCAAGATTCATTATTTACAAATTTCTTAGACACACTGCATACTTACTTCTTTTTTTTACAACCTAAGAGCAGGCAATGTAACGTGATTCAGTTCTCGGGTTTGGTTTTGCTCCTCCTCACTGTGTGTTTGTTCTTACTGGCAAGAGCTTTACTAATATGTTGAATGAGCTCAACATATCACAGGCATTACATTTAGTGTAACTAGGAAAATTATATTTTGATCAACAGGTTTAGTGAACGTCACGATGCTCCACGAACCAACTTCGACAACTTCCTGAAGGCTATGCTGGCAGTTTTTCAGGTATGTGTGAAGACTTTGTATTTCACCTCTCGGTTGATTCGAGTCTCCACTTAATTTTGAATTTATTTTCATTATTTCAGATTATGACCGGAGAGGACTGGAATGCCGTGATGTATGATGGGATAGTTGCATCAAAAGGACCGCATACAATCACGGGAATGTTATCATCATTGTATTTTGTTTCGCTAGTGATTCTGGGAAATTGTATCCTGAAATTCAATTTACTTGACTAGAACCAATCTTTTACAGAGGGTGTAGGGAGGGTTTAACTTATAGCTGAGAATTGCTCAAAATTGTTGCTTTCAGCTGAGAAATTGCTAGTCTTGTCATCGATAGCTAAGGTCGCAGATCTACATAATCTACTGATAACTGAGAGATGGGCTAAAATGTGGACTGACAGCTGAGAAATCGGCGAAAATTTCGCTAAAATCTGAGATTTCAGCACCCCTACGAAAGCCCTCTTTTTAGAGGCATGCCATGTCAACTCTGATAATTCACTGAAAGCTGCTTGGTATGTTCACAGACGATTGAGTGAACCATTATAAGTGGTTTCATGACGTCGTTGTAAGGAGACAGTTACGTCATTGTTTTTGCATATCAGCAATTTCCTAGACATAGTATATTTTTCTTTTACCCCACCGCGGCCATCTCCATAACGTGCTGTAAATGGGGAGTACTGCAATGTTACAAAATTTAAGCAAGTAACTAGCATCCCGTCCAGGACGCATTGAAAGCGAATAAAGGTTAAGTAAATGAGAAAATGAGTTCTCTACATTCTCTACATATAAACAGCTTAAATTAATTAGGTTTTCTTAACCAAACTACACCAGACACGTTACTAAATGTATTTTTAGCCATCGCAGTAGACAACTTGGCAAACGCACAGGCCGTGACGCAAGACGAAAAAGAGGAACAAAGACAGCTAGAAGCCATGAGAAAAAAGAGGCTTGAAAAAAAAAGGGACGGATGGGCTAAAGCTCGGCAGATTCCTGTTCTTATGGCCATAAAAAATATTAACCATAGCAAAAATGACAACGACAATCCATTTCACAACATGAAACCAGTGTATCCATCTTTGGATCATGTGTCTCCAAGGTAACTAGCAGTACCAGTGTTTTCCGTGTGTTGAAAATGTATTCCAGGAAAACAGCTTACTTAAACAAAATTTTTCGTAATTCAGGTGTACAAATAAGAGCGAGTAATTGTTGGATAAAAACTATAGACTAGAGTATCCCAGGAAAGTAGTTTATTCGTTCGATGCTGGAGTTTAGAACAGCCACTCGTAAACTGTCAGGCACCTCTCATCCCTAGCTTTGAAACAGATCAACGTTACTTAAGCTGATGACAACGCAATCGGCTCACAACAAATATGCTTTGCCCAAACAAATATCCATTATTTCAAATGTGTGTTTACCCGTATCCAAACTATCATTCATATTATGGTTTGAATCCAAGAGTATCAGTGGTTCATCTAGTGTGATTGTCTGAGGTTGTCGAAACGTTTGTCACTAACAACAATTCATTTAGAAACTATCCTCAGCCAGAAGATCGCAGTAGGAGAACGATGATAATACAGTTCTCTTTATTTCCATTTTAGGGGAGCGAGATGGAACAAGAAGTCAGCTTTAAGGGTAAGACAGAGACTCCTAACATGAATTATTAATCAGCTTTATTCCTTGTTTTTCCCTCCTTTTCGTACAATATTATCATAACATTTTTGTTCATTTTTTGTTTGCTCGTTCAATAACAGGTGAAGATTTCCCAAGATGGTAAATTTCCTCAGGCTACGAATGGACAAATGTCGAACGGCAATTCCAAAGAAAACCCTGACAAAGAAGAGGAAGGAGAAGATACAGGTGAGATCCAGGGTGGGGACGGTAAGGAATCCCGTCAGGGAGGTCAGTGAAACAGTTTCAAGGATGAGTGATTGAGAATACTGAGTCTTATGCATTGTGTAAAATAACACAGCAGCGTGTCGAGAGGTTTATCATCCACATCTAATATGGCCTTACGATATCACCACACTTCAAAGCAGCCGGTTATGAGAAGAACAGAAAAATAACGCATGGGGAATACTGTCTCAATGTACTATGTTATTTTCAGAAGTTAAATGAAGACAAAAAATGCGTAACGAGAACTTATATTTCGAGCCTGGAACTGTTGGTCCACCCATCAGAACATGTCGGATACCGACACACCATCTCAGGACAGTTATAGCTAGGAATTAAAAATTTACGTCGATATCACCTTGTTTTAATTAGTTGTTTATTTATTTATTTATTTATTTATTTATTTATTTTTCAGAGAACAGTGTTCCTCGTAGAACGTTACTCAGCTTGCGTGATGCGGGGCGTATTATACGGAGACGTAACATTCACAGAAACGTACCAATCATACGAAAGAGTTCCATGTTTATTTTTGGTCCTGATAATCCGTAAGTGCACTCCAATAAGTCCGTGAAATGTTTCTTGTTTCTGCTACTTTGCAAAGGTAGTTTGCTTATTAAGTCTGCAATAAAATAAACTCATCCATCGATCTAAATTATGCAGCATCTTCTGTAACTTCTAAATTTTCTTCTCTTCTGGGTCTGCAAGAAGAAGGACCAGATTTCATGTGTAAAATTTAATAAATCATCCAGGTTCATATTCTTTTTCGCTGTTATTATATTTTTTTGTTTTCTTTTATCTCATTCATTGCAGTATTCGCCAGGCTTGTCACTGGGTTGTAAATCTTCGATATTTTGATGACTTCATTTTGGCGGTCATTTTAATCAGTAGCGTGTTATTAGCAATAGAAGACCCAGTCCACCCGGATGCATCAAGAAACAAGGTCTGTCGCGTGCACTTCATTGAACCATTTGCTAAGTAAAAACACAATTTTGCAAAGCGGCATTTTCACTTCTTTTTTTCAGTTTTATTTCTGTAATGTCTGGTAACAGTTTCCTCGACATCATTTCTTTCTTAAAATATAACTTTGTACCCAACGTTTTCAATTTTGCACAGGTTATTCGTTATTTTGACTATGGTATTACAGGGATCTTTGCGTTAGAAGTTCTAGTAAAGGTAACAATATCTATAAACGTATATCTCTTTTAAAGTTTATTAGACCAACTATTACTTATTCCACTACGCGGAAAGTGGGCTGGTGGGAAGGACGAATGGTACAGAAAGGCTGAACTAGACAGAGAGCAATGGAAGAGCATTTGTGTAGCCCTACCCATAACATGGAAAACCCAATGATAAATAAAAAACACTGTAACATCACAGCTTGATATTGACAATTGGACCACATCTGTATCTTGACCCCTTTGACTTTCTATGAAATAATCATCATTGCGGAAAAAAAAAGTAAAAAAAAAATCATAAAGAATATATTGTATTAAAGGCAACGATTTCTTGACGGAAATGATTGTGATTGTAAGTGAAGCTTTTTTTGTGTGCAGATGATCGACCTTGGTGTGATACTTCACAAGGGATCTTATCTGAGAAGTGGATGGAATGTCATCGATGCCTTCGTTGTGGGCTGTAATATTGCTGCCTTGCTGTTAGAGTTAGTACAGTTATTTTTATGGTTAGAATATTAACGTATTTATAAGTAAAGTAACTCTGAAAATTCCCTTTGGGTACGAGGTAACAAAATTTGTATATATACATGTAATTTAAATTGCACTGCAATTTAAAAAAGTTAACTAATTGAAAAAGATAAAAACAGCTTTATAGATTGGTAAGGCAGCTATAGGGATACATCCCTTTGGAGCCAGTCTACCACAATGGAAGCCGTCTTAGTGTTTGATTTTTTAAATATTCTGTTCTTGATTACTTGGAACAACAACAACAGTTTATTTCTACTACTGTAAACAACTAAAAGAATTAACAAGATTATAATTATAAATAAACAAATATACAGTACAGTACATACAGTAGTGGGACACCCAAAATAACTAAAAAGCTAAACTAGTTGGGTGACCGTATTCAATTCAAGCATAGACTCTGAAGGTTCTTGTGTTCGTGGTTCTCAGCATAGGAACTGACGACAACTTACAGAAGGATGCTATCAAGTCATTTCGTGTTTTACGAGTGCTCAGACCTTTGAAGGCCATTAACAAGTCAAAAAAACTTAAGGTTAGATTCAGTGTTATATGTTCATTATATGTCTTCAATCATCATGTCATCATTCTGATAAAAGATTTTTGTTGCTGTTTTATTATTATTACTTTCGAAGGGTAAGGGGTGGAGTTTTGCTGTAATTACATCAAGAATTTCCATCCTGGCTAAAATATAAGCGCGGACGCCAAATGTGAAACAAACTTCTTGTTTCGTGAAAAGTACAATCACTGCGCCTACACAGATTCACTTTTCATCCCGGGCTGAAGTTTCATACCGATTAAATGACGTACAAGAGCTTTTTAAGCCCAAACTGACACCCTCTCCAACTAATCGACACGTTCATTTCACGAGGATGTTTTTCGAGAATCGGACTGAGATTTCCGCAAAGAGTCGAGTGTACCTATCTCTCGATTTTGTCTACCTGTTTCTTGCTTTTTCTAGGGTGTGTTTCGGTTGAAGACGAAAAGAGAGTCTGAGCTCTTAAATGAAAAAAAAAATCGTATGAGAATAATACAAGTTATCAAATGGCTGCGATGAAAATGACTTTATTACACTGATATGAGATATATCGTAGAGATAATAACTATGAAATTTTTCAAAAAAAGTATTTAATTTCCAATACTTAGATTTGTTTATAATTTTTAGGCTGTGTTCGAGTGCATGATGTATTCTTTAAAGAATGTACGCAACATTCTCCTCATCACGTTATTGTTCTACTTCATATTCGCTGTGGTTGGCGTGCAGTTGTTTAAGGTATTAGTCTCTAAAATATTTTATCTTCATTTGTATTTTTAATATAAGAAAGAAGCGCGTACGAGAGCCTTGCCCAACACGAACTGTTATTTGGTTGCCAGTATAACAAATTTTGTTTTTATTCTTAGGGGAAATTTTGGTATTGTACAGATCTTTCGAAGATGACGAATGCAACTTGTCAGTAAGTATTCAGCCTCTGTCACCTACTCCATCATAACCACGCTGACAAGAGCCTTGGCATTCTGTCGCTTGGCTTTGTTTTACTGTGAAAATAACTTTTACATGCAAACAGTTTCTTCTTAACAACGCAAGTTGTCTTGTGTAGAGTTTAAACGAATCTCGCCTTTTTCTGAACACACCCTGGACGTCAGCCGACACGCCTGCTAAGGACCAGCTATATCCAACACGTTTTCTAAGTAAAACCTTCACTTAATCAAACTTTTCAAAACTGACTGGGGACACTCTTTAAAAAAATTAAAATTTTAAAAGAGATTAAGATTTTCCAATTGAAAAATTGGACCATATGTGCGGGCCGAGAGATTTGATGGAATACTTGCCAAGCCTTATACCTGTAGTGTTCTCTCTCTAAATGTTATGATCATTGTATACGAGCGGGAATTTAACCAAGATGTTATTTTTAAAAACTTCAACTCACAGCAAAATAAATCATGTTTGTTTTGCCACTCTTCTCTGCATCTCGCTGTCTTTAGATTAGAGTGTTAATTAGTTTACGGAATGAATTCAATGTTTTTCTTTGCAGAGGACAATACTTCAAGTACAATGTTGCCATCAACAGTAAAATAAGTCTGGATAATTTTGAGGTATCTATTATCTAATGTAAATGAATTTCTGTAAAATTCGAAGATGACAATCTTCTAGCAGTGAAGAAATCTAGCACGCCGCTTTCCTGTTTCACTTTGAGTTTATTTGTTCCAAGGACGCTGAATGAGATTCTTTCTCTTCCTTAAGTTTGTCTTCGTCAAAAATGTCAAGCTCTTATGTTTTACACCTTCAGGTTAAAGACAGAGAGTGGAAGAAACACAAGTTTAACTTCGACAACGTACCACATGCCATGTTGGCTTTGTTTTCCTCTTCTACTGGGGAGGGGTGGCCTCAGTAAGTTTCGTAACACATGTTCTTCAATCATGTGATCAATACCTATTTTGAGTTTTTCTGTGTATCGTTTCCACAGAAATATCCCTTTCCATATAAATATTAGACAGGTAAATTTCGACTTGTTCTACAAATAGTGAAATTCAAAATGAGATCTGCCATCTTGGATTTCTATATTCTCTTAGAAGTCAAAAATCATAACAATAGTATGCCCACCAGTAAACAAGATAAAAAAAACAGACGAATTTGCCGGAGAAAACGAAATTTGTCTTGACCTGTAAGTCAAAATCATAAATGCCTTCTCCACGGCACTGTCAAATGATACGGAGAAATAGTTGACACATTAAAAGTTCCGGTGAGGGAGGGAATGGACAGCTATAGAAAGTTTCAGCAGTAAATCCTCTTTTCAAAATTCTGCAAAGACCTCTTAGGGTTACATCGCTCTCCCTCCTCCTCCCCCCCCCCCCCCCCCCCCCCCCACCCCCAACGCTAGTGTACCGCTATCGTCGAATTGAAGTTGACTTAATAACTTACAAGACAAGCTGTAACTCCATTTTTCGGTTATTTCAATTTTATGCTTTAATTAAGTTGACTTCAGAGTAACTTGTTTCTTCTTTTATCCCTACAGAGGAATGTATCACACTGTTGACGCGACCAAAGAGGATCAAGGGCCTATCAAGGATTACCAAATCCAGATGTCTTTGTACTATGTCTGTTTTGTTGTTGTGTTTTCTTTCTTCTTTTTAAACATGTTCGTAGCTCTGATCATTGTTACATTTCAAGAGCAAGGAGAAAAAGAAATGGATGGATGTGAACTCGATAGAAATCAGGTATTAACACCATACCTAATTGAACGTAGAATTCCTTTTAACCCTTAGAATGCCAAACTTTCGCCAAAAAATACCGTTTTCTACCATTAACCGTTCTCAATTTCGTTTGTTGGCCCTTTCCTTTCTTTTTTTCTCGGCCCTTTTACACTGGCTTTCTTTTGCATTGTATGTTCTTTCTGGCTGCGGTGAAAAGTTGGATGTTAAATACGGGCGAAGCCTAGAAATGGACCTTGATCAATCATACGCGTTGTGGACCATTTTACCACCATTTTTGCACCAAAACTGATAACGTTGTTTTTCGATTTGCGACGTCGGAATGTCGTCGATATCTAAACCTGACCATTGTGCGGAAAGGGCTAGCCTAGCACTACCATCTGCTTATCAAGAATATCTGATGACATTTAAATTGATGACGTCACAAGTGGTACAAAGAGCACGACCATTAATTACGCATATATGTGTAGTTGTTATTCAAAGGGTTAAGTAGAGAGGACGCCTCTTCCTCATTATCTGGACTGTAAGAAAATTGTTTCTCGATTACTCATGATAAATGTGCATCGAATGTTTTTAAAATCCTACGAAGTGTTTCATCAACTTTACTTCAACTTTTACTCTGTCTTCTAAGTCTGACGATGACGCCCTCAATCAGTTGCATGCATGTGACAATTCAAATGAAAGTTTCTTGAAGTAACACTGTTTCTTTGCATCTATTGGTAAAATATAATTTTTGCTTTACACTCCAGCACTCTGCGCGTTTATGAGCCAATTTATATTTTATATTTCAGCGAGATTGCATTCAGTTCGCCATGACAGCCAAACCAAGACAACGTTACATGCCGGAGGATAAAAACACTTGTGTTTATAAAGTGTGGAAGGTTGTGGACTCCAAACCCTTTGAAATCTTTATCATGGCCACTATTGTTCTCAACGCAATAGTTCTTATGGTCTCGGTAAGAAATTCTAAATAACCAACTATATTTTTGGTTATTTCTTAAGAATGTGTGACAGCTGTTAGATCGTCCGGAGTGGTAGGTAAGAAACATTCGAAGGAAGAGACAAGAAGGAATGCAAATTCTAATAGACGAAACTCGCAGCTAAATGTTCCAACGCAACGGAAAATAAAACATATAATAGCAGTAAATTGAAGTGCATTTAAGTTTCTTCAGCAAAGCCGGAGACAGCTGTTTCATGTTATCCATGTCCTAATTTATCATTGCACATATCGTATTTCTATTTCAACTCTTACATTCCTCATAAGTGATCAGTTGTTTTATTCCCCTCCTTGCACTTCGGACTTGTATCGATACTATAAGGAGAAGTAAGTTTCCGATCAATGTTAGGATTAGCAGGTTCCTCTTTCTCTACAGTATGACGATGCTTCTCCTCAGTATGAGAGAATCCTCATCAATTTAAACGCCGCTTTCACTTTCGTGTTTCTGTCCGAAGCCATTTTGAAGCTGATAGCGTTTAGACAGGTTAGTTTATTTTATCACGTCCCTGTTTATTCCTTTAACGTCTCTTTCTGTAGGGCTGACTTTTAAACGTCAGCCATTTTAATCGTAAACTTGGGTTGCTTACCAAGCGCTCCTGATATTAAGGTTACCGTATACCTTCAGATCGGTAATTTTCTTCAAATTTGGATTTTTGGGTCAAAGTAATAGTCGAAGAGTAATCTCTTATTTCTGAAAAAAAAANCACAAGAGAGGTGTTCCTGTACTGAACAACATGAGTTTCCAATCAAGGATAAAAGGATGTGTGATAGTTGAAACAAAGGAAATCATAATCGTTATGATGTTTGGATATGATCTTAATTAGCTCATATTTTTATCATTTCATTTCTCTGTTTTCTGGTTAGTTGTAGTTTTGATCAAGAAGATATATCAAACGCTAGAGGCAGTGTGTTCCCATATTTTCAAAAATCTCGAAGTTCGAATTCCTCAACAACATTCCGCAGCGCTTCGTACTGTCAACTCTATACTCTGTGTTTGGAAATGTGGGAAAACACGGTCTATGTTGTCTGATATATTACGTCTCAGTAACAATCACCTATGACCCCACCTAAATTTAATTCGAAGGGCACCTTGATCTCTTACTTTCCAGAATAAAAGATTAAAAAATCATTTGTTATTATTTCAGAATTACTTTCGAGATTTCTGGAATGTGTTTGACTTCATCATTGTCATCACCACTTTGGTCGGCGTAATCCTAGAATTAAACGTAAGTAAATATCAACATTTATCAAGTTTTTTTTTTTCTTTCATTTACGACATCCTTCATTCATTGACTGATTTATTCATTCATTCATTCATTCAATTTAATTCTTTCGTTGACCTAGACAAAAAATTATTTGCAAGTGCTTTATTACATAGCAGAACAAGTGAAGAAGATATAGTTAAGAATTGTATGTGCAACAAAATCTTTCCCTCACTAGTCAACCACCCAAAAGGCCAGTGACGCCCTTCCAGTAGACCCGAGTTTTTTCCGACTCTTTCGAGCTGCTCGGCTGGTAAAACTACTGAGACAAGGATACACCATACGAATTCTATTGTGGACATTCCTACAGTCATTCAAGGTGAGCGGATGTTGTTGCTTTGACTATTTGTTTAGGTTTGGGTGACGGGAAACAAGAAAAATAAACACGAAGTTGGCCATATACCTTCAAACCTCCCCAAAGTTACGCGTTTTGTATTAAGGTCACGTTGTAATTATCCACCGGCTGTTACCGCTGCCACAGTTATCGGTATTTCGTGAGCCGTGACTTATGGGCGCACAAAGACGACAAAATACGAATATGTCACGTCTTTAAGATACAACACGACTAAACAGCATTGTTGCTCACTGTTTTTCTACTGATATGTTACGCCTATCACCACAGTCGCAGCTTGTAAGTCATTTCAATTAAAATATTTAACTACAACAACAGTCTATATTTTTTCGTTGATCAACTTACATTGTTACAACTGGCCTGGCCAGGAGATAGCTAGCGCTGATCCAGGCGGGCCAGTCTATCATAATCTAATTACAAACGAGCTTATTCATAAATACATAGCAATAGGAAAATTAAACAAAAGTAAATGAAATCATGTACAAATTAAGATAGGAAAGGATGAAAGAATTCTTAATACTTGTATGTGGAATTGACTACATATGTGGCAAAATTAGCAAAGATATAAATATAATGGTTAAGTTGAAACATTATGTATCAAAAGCAACACTTATTAGTGTCTATTATTCTCTTATTTATCCTTACCTTACCTATGCTTGTACACTTTGGGGAAATAATTATAACGCTCCATTGTCTCAAATCGTAAAATTACAAAACAAA